CGTCGTAAAACCGCAAAAATACAAAGTTACGAGCGAAGCGTTAATTCATTTTCCTTTCGTCGCTTTTTCATATATGCGTTTTCGCGTTTCAAATTAAAGATCAGTCATGTTTACTTATTGTTAGAATAGAAAAAGATCCGTATTAATCGTTATCACTTCCTCTTAATTACATATAAATACGTTTTCCATTGAAGGAACTATCCGTTTAATAGATTAATATTGACAGCACTAACAGATTCTAAAATATATTAAATCTTCATTATCGATGCGACGTAGAAAAGCGTATATAAAATTGCTAATTAAAATTTGATGATTAAAACAGATGGATGCGGCTCAATGCCAGTGAATTTAGAGCAAGGAGAAAATCGAATATCTCGCGCTATATCTAAGGTTAGGCAAAGTGCACACTCGAGAGTTTTATTATCGAGGATCGCTCTCGGAGAAAACTCTCAATTAGACACTCATTAAGTGTCGCTCTCAATGTACGGCGGAAATTTTACTGTCGAGGATTGTTTGCGGAGAATAAAATTTTCAAGAGCCACTCCGAATGACGTATATACGCCGATGAGTTTTACTGTCGCGACGGAATTGTGTTCGTCGCAATAAAGTAATTAGTTTTTGCACAAGCCGCAGAAATAAGAAAAAGCGACAGTTTTTCTACGTCACAAATAATTTTACGAGATTTATTTCGATTCTCTGCGGAAAATTCTTCAATCATAAAATATTGTCCGATTATCTAGACTCTATCAGATTCCGAGAGTTTATAAAATTGTTACAAAAAAAATGTTACTCTTTTTTTCATTTTACAAATAATAAAATAAATGATTTAAAAAAATGAAGAGGAGTATACGAAAGAAACGAACATTAATATGCTTGTATGTCGCGATACTTGCAAGGTCGCAGTTCGTTATAATGCAAATTTATGTCAATAAGCGAAAAAATAAGCATCGCGGACGGTTTACGATGTCTCTTATCGACGAGCTCTTGGGAGCAACTTATCTATCCTCGAAATATCTAGAGTATATTCGTGTAATCTCTGTCTTAAATCAGCTATGTCTTTGTTATGACTAAATAACACTCGTTAATCAAATTTTCAATTACATTAATTTCTCTTACAAACATTTTATTCTTTGATTTTGTACTATTTTGTATTAGAATATAGCATATCTTTATATTAAAATATAGAACAAGTATCTTATTATTAAATTATTTTAATGTGACGTAAAATAATTTATATACACAAATTAAAGACAATATACTTTCATATCTAAACAAAGTTTTCACAAATTATATAGAGTTTATCTTTCAACATCTATATACTAAAAAAAATTGTTAACTTGACTAAACTTTTCAACTAAATATTATTTTGTTAATTGAACATATAAAAATATTTAAATTAAGTATAAGATATTAAATCTAAAAAAACTTATATTTGACTTAAATACTAATATGTTCAATTAACAAAATGGTAATTTAGTTGAAAGGTTTAGAATCACGTCAACAATTTTTTGTCAGTATAAGAGAATATAAAGAGGGAAATCTAGGAACATTTAGCCAGAAAAAAATGTGGAGAGAAAAAAATGTGTACTCGGTACATATTATTCGGCGGAGTTAAAGCGAGCAAAATTAGGATTTCTCTCATGCGTACCTGCACGGCAAACAAATTTTCATCTCGCTGTTCGTTCGCGCGAGTTTGCTTCGCGAATGAGTACCGTTACATGCCGCAAAGAAATGGTCAGTATGCGCATTACAGCGATCCGCGATGAAGGAGAGTGTGGCTCGTGTTGCTAAAGGAGATGACGATCAGATGCCGCTATCAGTTGCCGATATCGCGCGTTCCAAAGGCCGGTTGCACCTAACCCATTCGATTCGGTTTAACTTTAAACCACGATCGAACCGCGCGAGCAACCGAGGTCAGTCAAAGAGAAGATATTTTTCGATATACAAGGTGTACCGTATCCAGGAAATCACTCATTTACAAGCAGATTCCCGATTGTCATTTGGAGACGATTTTTCCTCAGCGAAAATGTCGAAACACCAATAATTTTCAAGTTATAAACAATTGTAAATAAAGAGTTTTCGCAAACTAAATCTTGTGGAAACAAAATATTAACGAAACCACATTCTTCAATTAATTTCAGAGAGTTCATAGTTATATAAAAAATATGATGGCAAAAATTGATTACATAAAATGACCTCCCTCGACATTTTCACTGAGGAAAAAAATCGTCCTCAAATGACGTCGGGAATCTAACTGCATGTATATATCAGTGATTCGATAAGGACACTCTGTATACATATATTTTCATAATTCGCTGATTGTGTGTGTTGAGAGAAGAGTGTCCTGAGTTTGTATTCGGGAAAATAAATAAAAATAAAATAGCTGTGATATAAACCGTTTATCGCAATATAAAAGTATGTGTCCTTTTCCTTTTTCCTGCTCTTTCATGCACACATGGTTTGGAATTTATTTATTTACGCGTGTTTATTTACGTCAGAGATTCTTAAACATATGTAAAACACGTATATGTATGCATTTTGTACGACAAATCAGTTCACACGTCTTTTACAATTAATCGAGAAAACAAGTGACATAAATTCAATGACAGTTCAAATCTTATCAATTTGCTAGATTAGCATTTTTATTTGTCCAGATAATGATGAAATAAAGCATATGCGTATGACGAATTCAGTTTGAGAACCACTGATCTGTGCTGTCAATATTTTTCAGGAACTTAATTTATGTTATCTCAATTTACTAAAAATAACTATTGATCATTATTTTCCAATCAACTTCATATAAACTTATTTATTCGAACGTTTACTTGATAAAATTCATTGAAAAAATATATTACATTTTTTTAAATCAAATTTATTTATGTTTTAAAATCGTTAAATAAATAAATTTCCTTTTCTTATCGCGTATATATTTATCTCAATCAAATTATTCCCTTTTTATAAAAGAATCGTAAACTTAGAAAAATGCAGGAAACTATTAGATAGCCATTAGCAGAATTCATTATTAAATTCAGAAGGTAATTTCATCAATCATTATTAAATATTTTTCCTAACAATTAGTGGTAAACTCTAATCACTTAAAATATCTCGATACTCAAATACTGTCGTATATGTAAATAACACGTAGTATGCCTAAGAACATAATAATATAGTCAAAGATTAAAATAAAACAGCATGACAATTAATCTCCCAAAAAAATTTGCTTCTATATCTACACAATCGACAAGCATACCATTGTGTGAACAGGATACTTTATTTAACTCGGAGCATTGGAAATAATACAATATATCTGTTTCTTTCAACCGTGTTATCCGCGTCATGCTGCGAAGGGTATAGTGAAAGAAACGGTAGTTTCTCTTTTCTTTCCTTTCGAGATACAGAAAAAAGATTCTAAACAATTTTAGTAATTTTTTTTCCTCGTCCTTCTGCTTATTTATCTCAAGAAAATATATAGGTATATGTGATGCTTTAAAATATATATATATAAAATATCTTTCGTATTTCTTTAAGTTGTAAATATGTACTAAATTTTATATGAGCGTAACTAATGAACAGATTTATGTGAACCTTGCCTAAAGTTTGAAATTTTCTAAGGATATATAACTTGAATTGTTGTACACTGAAAAAAAATTTGTTAATTAAACTTTTCAACTAAATTATTATTTTATTAACTGAACATATATTAGTATTTAAGTCAAATGTACGTTTTGTTAGATTTAATATGTTATATTTAATTTAAATATTTTAATATGTTCAATTAACAAAATAATATTTAGTTAAAAGGTTTAGTCAAGTTAGCAATTTTTTTATTTCAGTATATTTATACATATTTGCTTGAATCCCATAAATTATACTATTAAATATGTGATGTATTTAAATTTAGATGGATATATGAGATGTATGTACATACATTTTAAGAGAAAAAAATTGATTTGTAAATAACTGATCTCTATACAATATAATTGGATATGGCATAGCACAAAAAAATTATCAATTAAAAATTGTGAGTTTTGTCTACAAATGTGTTTATTTTTACATTTTATTCACAGTTATTTGAAATTTGATTTTATATGTATAAGCGATAGATTTTTTCATTCAATCCAAAAGTATTAATAATGAAAATTATTTATGTCAAAATAAGCGCATTCAATTGGTCACACATGTTTTGTTCTATGCCATATCCAGTTATGCAGGATGTTTCATAGTCAGCATTCTATAGAATTGGATTTTATACATCATTTGAAGCAAAAAAGTTTATATAAACATGTATCCTATTCTAGAGGATTATAAAAATACAACACGTGTTTAAGTTTAAGAAAGAATATTAAATGCTGTGAAACAATTAAATTAAATTTTCTATTACCATGGTTACGAATGTCACGTTTCACAAGTCCTATGTTAATTTTTGATTTCTGATGTAATTAAAATTGCTCACATTTACTCATTTAATTATTATTGAAATGATTGTATATTAATTATTTAAATATATATAATAAGCTTAAAATTTCATAGAATTTGATTCAATAAATTAATGAATGTATTCGTTTATAAACTGAATACGTCGTACCTTTCCAAAACTGTCTAGAATAGGACACATGTTTACATAAACATTTTCGCTTGAAATAATGATGCAATCATCCCCTAGAACGCTGTCCATTCCTGAAACATCCTATATATATATATATACAGACATTAGTATAAATAACTTTGCCTCGAACTTTTCTCAATATTTACAATTTGTAAACAGTTGAATCCTCCATTCCAAGTTTATATAAATCCTTCTGGTCGTCAAAGCATTTCTCTGCATATTTCAAGGTTCCCTATATAAAATATCTAGAACACCTTCCTAATCTAAACTCGACAAAAAAAAAGACTTGGAAAAACTTCCCTCCCGATAATACACAAGAGCCCCAAGAACAACCTGTCAATAAACATTTCGGACGGTGACAGAGCTCGAGAAGGAAAAAGCGGAGAAGACTCACCTCGAGATCCTCGTAGGAGCGAAAACCGAGGATGGCGAATCCATCGATAATGTCCTCCTCGAAGGGTGGCTCCTTTTGGTTGGCGGCCGCGAGGGAAGACTTCTTGCGGGGCCTGGGAGGCCTCGGTGGCCTGGGCGGCCGTCCCGAGTGTCCGTCCCGTGGATGACCGGTCTTGGCGCCGCCGCCGCCTCCGGCGGGGTCCTCGTCCTCGCCGCTGTGGCTGTCCTCCTCGTCGTTCGGCGGTCGTTGCCGCGACTGCTGGGACTGTTGCTGCTGCTGTTGCTGTTGCTTCGCGGTGGCCAGGCTCTCCCTCTGCGCCAGCATGCGCTGCGCCCGCTCCCGTCGTCGGTTCTTCTGGCTACGTTGCTTCGCCTCGATCTCCATCTTCGACACGCACCACACCGCTCTTCTTTCGAAACAAACGTCCGATGATATCCTCTAGGGATCACCCGCGGCGCGGCCTCGTGGTCAACGTAGTAGACAGATGGCACGACGGAGGAAGGTAATGACGTACGGGAGGATGACGACAATGGGAGGCGGACGAGAGCGGCAGCAGACGACAGCGACGACGTTGTCGTCGTGCATTCTACGGTCGTAGACGACCGATGGGTAGAGAGAAAGAGGGTGGAATGGGAAGAAAGGAAGACGAGGGGCAGAGAGAGAGAGAGAGAGACACTGCACCGCCTCGGGATACACTCGGCACTCACGAGACACGGCTTACTGTCGGCACGCACTCTATGTATGTACACAGACACACACACATATATATATGTGTATATATATATATGTACACGCGCGACTGGGGCACCTTTCCGCGATATATACTCCTTTCCTGCGTTCGAACAAGTTCCTCGCGATATCCCCAGAGCACTCGGAGAGAGCACGATGTCACATCGATCGTGCGCGCTGGTCGAAGAAGAGTCCCGGGTGCGTGTGGCGAGGAAGCACGCGAGAAGGCACGCACGCAGGGCAGATAAAGAGAGAAAGAGAGAGAGAGGGGGGGGGAGAGAGAGAAAGAGAGATACGCGCACACGAGAGAGACTCGACGAGATGGAGCACTTTGCGAGAGACGGTCGCACAGATCGGCGAGAGTGCACGCGCGCACTCGCGCGCACACACACACACACACACACACACGCACTCGCGAGGAGGGGCGCACACTATGAAGGCGCACCTAAGAAGGCCGGAGTGAACGTATGCCACACGTATTATACCACCGTTCGGGGCCAGACACTTATTAACGTTCCGACGCGGTGTCTCGGCGCAGCCAACTTCTCTCTATTCGGACACTTCCCTCTCTCTCTTTCCACCGCTCCGTGTATTCGCGCAACTTCACGCAGTAAAGCAGAGCTCTCACGACCGATCATACACGACGTTCGACCTTCCGTCCTTCTTTCCTCCGGTCCACAATCGTCACCGTCGTCGTCCTCGTCGTCTTCCTCGTCGTCGTCGTCCACGTTGCGATCGCGGTTATCATCCTCTCCTCCTTGTTATCGTTTTCTTCACGATCACGTCCCTCTTTCTCCACCTTCCGCGCTTTCGCCACCTCCGCCTCGTCGCTTCCTTCTCTTCCTCCTCGCCACCGTTGTCGTCGTCGCCGCCGTCGACGTAGCCTCGCGAGACTCTCCGGCCCCGTCCTCGTCGTCGTCCACCACCTCCAGCACTGCTGCGTCTCGCTCTTCCCTCACGTCACGTCACGTCACTTCACTTCACTTCACTCTCGGCTCGTTTGTCCGCCTCGGATCCTGCACTGCCTTTAACGTGTACGGGGCAGCGGCGGCGCGTCTTGTGCGTACACCATGCGTGCGTGCATCCGTCCGTCTGGTTGGTCGGCTGGCTGATCGGTCGGTCGGCGTTGGTTGACGTAGCGCGACGCGGCGCGGCGCTTATCGTCGTCGTCGCAGCACGGCGGCGGTGCCTCCGCGATCTGCCGCGGTCAGACGCATCCCGCGAGGAGTGCACGTAGCGCGCCGATTGTTTGGAATGGCGATGGCGGATCGAAGCGCGGCCACCACGCACGGTTGCCGCATCGTGCGGTAGTGGAAAAATGGCCGCGAGCCTGCCTGCCTGCTCCTGGTCTCTACCTGACTGACTGACTGACTGACTACCGAATGTCGAGAGAGAGAGCGACGTCGCCTGTCACGGGACGCGTGACGTCACGCGCGCGCTGTCACTTGGCGCATCGTCGCCCTGGTGGCGCGATCTCGCACGTTTTACACGTTAAATACACTCGGGGTTAATCACCGAGAGAGAGAAAGAGAGAGGAATGTGAGGAGGGTGATGATGAAGAGAGCAAGAAAGTTTGGGGTCCACGACTGTGGAAAGGCACACGCCCCGAATTACGCGCGAACTTGTCGTATGTGCTAATGCATTTCTGTCATTTTGTTTTCCCTCTCTTTCTCTCTCTCTCTTTCTATGTCTGTTGCGATTATCGAGAGAATATGGCGTACTTTTACCCTATATGCTCCGCGTAGATATAAGACTATATATTTTTGTACGCGTGTTCACTCTGCGTCTAGGATATTCTCTCGCCTCCGGGCGAGTAAATTCTGTCGCGTTCAGAGTCTTGGAGCGCTGTTTCTTCGCTTTCCTTCTCTCTCTTTTCTTCTACGTATATATGTATGTATGTATGCCTTCCTCGTCGCCGATTCTTATCCCCACCCTCTCACTGGCCCACCCGTGCTGACATTTCTAGGTACTTTTCGTTTCTTCCCTAGGAGAGGGGCGGCAGCATCGCGGCGATGTCACATGACGCCCTCTGGATTAGTTTCCATGACAACCCGGCAGATGTCGCTACTCCGCGCTGTGCGCTACGCTTCGCTCTTTCTCCTTCTCTTCTTCCGATATCGATTTTCGATATACTCTATGGCGGTAATTTTCGTATAATCGTCTAGTGAAAGGAGGAGGGAGAGTGAGGAAATGGGGGAAACGAGCGCCGGTTCATGAATCTGCTGCAGCGAGTAGACTGTTAATCTCGTCTATTCTTGGCTTATTAACCGCGAATTCTCGGTAAGCTTAATTTTTTTATACTTCTTTTCATTATAACTATATAGGATTATAATATGAATATTTTTACGGTGTGGAAATTTTTCTAGCCTTAGCGCTTTTCGGACAATTCAAGTTTTCGAAAGTAGAAATAGTATACCTAGAGTACAAGGTTATCTCACAATTAATAATATAAATTGTGCAAAATTCTTCCTTTCTTATTTATGGACGTAAAATAGTTCAAAGATATTTTACTATTTTTTCGATAACTTTCGATAAGTATATATTTTGTCTCATTCTAGCTTATTGCACCAGTGTAGGAATATATAAGCCTATATTTATACTTGTTTAGATTACACGAAGCTGAAATTTGAAGTCTGACTTTAGATGCTGAAAATACAGGATTCGCTCTTATATTGTTTTTAAAATGATGAGTGAGAACGTGGGATGTGCGGCGCAAACCGAACTGATGATGTCACGGATTGGCTGCATCTCTTTCCCGTATCATCGGTTAAACCGCACCTGGAAAGGCGCGTCTCCTTTGGACCAGTTCGCCGCAACAATTATCCGCTTTTGCGAGAGCGCATCTCCGCGATCCACGACCATTTCACGCAGCCGGTTTTGGAAAACGGTATGTTTTCAAATCCATATAAGTAAACCTGTATCGCGACGACTTCTATATCGGTCGTCTATCTACTTACTTAGTGCGGTAAAATACAGAGTGTCCGGAAAAACACGAAAATTATAGGACGTTAGTCTCAGCAAATTTCAAGCAGTTTGTGTGCTTTTATGATCTTTTAAGAATTTTACAATTTTTACAATATTAAATCACGCTCCAAAGCATAAATGAAATTTTAATTAATTAAAAGTATACACTGCAAAAAAATTGTTAACTTGACTAAATCGTTCAACTAATTATTATTTTTTTAATTGAACATATATAAATATTTAAGTCAAATACACGTTATGTTAGATTTAATATGTTGTAATTTAATTTATAAATACTTCTATATATGTTCAATTAACAAAATAGTATTTAGTCAAGTTAACATTTTTCTCGGTGTAATATAATTTATTATAATTTTTGAAAAATATAATATTTTTCAATGCTTGAATGAAATAAGTATATTATATATATATATATAAAATCAAGTCATAGCTTGGATTTTTTTTATTAAAGAGATTATTCTGTCGATGTTTGAGATTTATTATTCTCGAGATAAATTTAAATTTTGGACTACATAATTGAAGGATATGGAAATATCGTCACGCCGTCATTAATGCAATTGATTAACTATATATGTATTAAATATTAATTTGTTAATTGAACGTATATAAATATTTAAGTTAAGTACACGTTATGTTAGATTTGATGTTTTATTTAATTTAAATACTTCTATATGTTCAATTAACAAAATAGTATTTAATCAAGTTAACAATTTTTTTCTCGGTGTACTGTAATATAATTTAAAATTTAATAATATTTTTCAATGTATGAATGAAATAAGTATATTTTAAAATCAAGTCATATACAGTTTGTGTTTTTTTTATTAAGAGGGAATCTATATTTGAAGCAAAGAGATCATTCAATCGATGTTTAAGATTCATCATTCTCGAGATGAATTTAAATTTTGGACTACATAATTGAAGGATATGGAAATATCATTGTCACACCGTCATTAATGCGATCGCATTCAGTATTGACATTGACATCATTTCCTTCGATATATCAAACTCATGCGTATTAGCGTCGAGATTAAACGTTCTCGATAGTTCGATCTACTTGCATAATATGCTGTGGCTGCGTAGAATCAGATTGCCGTCAAGGAAAGCGAGAAAATTATGATCGTAAATGGAGAGAACGGCGGATAATAAATATATATTTTTCATATTAACGTCGGGCTTTCTGATTCTTGATTTATAAAATCAACATTGCATTTACATTTCATATTATCGCGCGACTTATATAAATACTAGCAGTGCTTATTAAATATAGCACTTAATGAATAAACCAGAATCAATGAAAGTCTAATATACCTGACATTAATTGATTAATTTTATCTTTCTCAAACCTCTCTGCAGATTTCTTCATGCTTTTAGTGCAATTTTATAAGAAAGATTGCTATCGTGTCTCGACTTAAACATACGTCTACGATTAAAATAAAAAAGTAGCCTTGTCATATAAAATTTTCGATAAGAGAAATAAATTAGAATAACAAGTATTTCGCGACGCAGAATATTAATTCTCATTTAGCCAATTAGGCCTTTCAATGATCATTAGATCATTCAAAGGCCTAATGTTAACAATACTCCTTTTTTTGTAAAGCTGTTCTATTTATCGGCGACAAATAGAGCAAATCGGTATACTATTGATTTGTTATACGTGATTGCGTAATTCGCTAGTAATCGAGGACAAATCTCCCTTTGATTCGCAAAAATAGAAAGATTATTTCGATGTTTTTTTCGCGCTGCTAATTAATCACGATAGTAGTCGTTCTACGATATTGCGCAGCGCGTAAATAAGGATTATAGAGACGCGCCAATAAAAGGCCGAACGCGATATGTATTTTGATTATGAGCGCGGATGAATCACTTTACATGCCGAATCCGTGCGCGATATAAGGCATTCGGCTGGAACGCGCGCGCATTTGCATATTAACGATCTCGAGGAGCTAAGAATGGGCTCCTGAAAATATATATCCGCAGACGCACATTTGCGTAGTCGGAACGTACTTACTTATCGCGATGGCTCCATTTGGAGAACCACCTTGCTAAGAACGCGCGTATACATTTCTGAGACTTGCTAAGGATAGGAGACCGTATGCTTATAAATAAGAAAACATTTTCGGATCGCTCGGGTAATTCGTTTCTTTTAATCAGATCATTCTTCGAATAACAGGTGTAGATTAATTATATTATTGTCGCTCTCGATGGTGTGTGTAATTGTATTATCTTTCCCTCGTCAAATTCTATATATATATATATATATATGTATACCTTCTAAAATATTAATTAACTTTCTTTATTGTGTAAATATATTTTTGAAAAATTTAATGTTTTTCTTAAATTGTTTCTATTCTTAGTATATTTATTTTAAACTCTCGCGAGATGTAATGGGAAGTTAATCCTTCATTCGAATTAATTATAATATAATTAATGATTTCGATTTTAATCGTTTGACATTTTGAATAATATATATGTATTTTATGAGTGCTGTTATTTTAAAAATTTCGAAGGAAATACTTGACATATTTTTATTCCAATAATATTCTAAAAGCGATAAAAAGTGTCGGCAAAATATAGGTATATACGACTCAGGACAAGTTATATCTCAAAAAGTCTCAAGGCGATTGCGGGTTTTAATGGGTTAATGGGACGTTAATCTCCGTCTCTCTCTCAGCGATAGTCTCTGATTGGACGAGCATGCCATTGTGGTAGAGATATACACAGTATTTGTCCATTCGGGTGTGTATATACTCAATATCGCGTACGTGCTTGTATTTACAGTGGCTTCGCCCCGATAATCCTCTCGTCTCCTACTACTTGGAATGTCCCGCTTCGACAGTCTCGGCACGAGATAATTATTTTCTCTAGAAAAAATTTCAATGTATAGACACTTCTCTCTTTTTAATTGATTGAGTTAATTGTCCCTTTCTTTTTAATTGACTGATTTAATTGCTACGATTTAATGACATAAATGATGAAATAAATGCACTAAAAATATCTATAATTTTTTATAGAGTGTATTATTTATTGAAGCACTTTTTAACAATTATATAACAAATGGAAGATAATATTATGCATAGTGTAATTCGCATCATTGAAGTCTCTCTCTCTCTCTCTCTCTCTCTCTCTCTATAGACTAATAGTACGAACACAATAATGAAGCGAATAATTAAAAATTAGAATCCACTTGAGATGTATTACGATCAGTGTTTGCTATTATTTAAATAAAGTTATATAAATGATCATCTAGATAAAATTTTGGCTTTATCTTATTTAATATGTATTATTTATATTTGCAACTTAGATGGAAAAGTGTTACCTTTACTAAATTATCTAGAATAATGTTCAGATAATTTGATTTAGAGTCATAGCATATAAAAGTACTTATAAGAGTAGCGCTTTAAGCAGTAAGCGATAAAAACTTACAAATAAAAATATGAATATATATTTTTATATCTCTTTTATAATTTACATGTTTTTATAAAAATGTAAATGTGTTTACATATGAGCGGTTTTACAAATAATATTATCTGGAATAAGTTATTTAGCTGAATCGTCATATGATTTTATCTTTTACCTAGAAGTATTTAAAACAAAATTTTCTTTCTATCTTATCTAAGCTGAATTTAGCTATCTTAATTAAGCTATCTTATCTAAGATAAATATGAAACGCCCAGATTTTTATGACTATTCTCAAGAGATCGATACTAAACGGATAATGAAAAGAATCAGAATTAATGAATTTAATATTTCATGATCATTTAATGTTATCCTGAATATTTTTTGATAAAGTCAAAGAAGAAGGCTTTTGCAAGCGTAATTTGGAAAAGCGCGGCGTATGTCTGCATGTCTCTTCCTTTTCTTAGAAGTTGCATACATGTATAAAATTGCGGAACCGCGCCAAACGAATCTCTCAGGTGACGGTAACGATAGGTGAATGGACCTTGCATTCTAGGGCGCCGCACCTGCTAGACTCGATCCTGAGATGCCCGGTGAATCCGTCAGAAAGTACTCGACGGCCGGACAGTATCGCGAGCGCTGGCGCGAAAGCATGCGGCGCGAGTTCCGTCGAGTACTTTCGTTTCGCGCGTCATTGATTCATTCGCGTATCACTCGTCGCCGAATTTACTTTTTCGTTCTCGCGGGGTCTAGTAATTTTTCAATCAAGAGATCCAATTAAGCGACTTGAAGAGTACATTATTGGTTTTTTCTTGTCGAATTCGGTGAAAGTCGCGTGTGTCGATTTCTTTGAGAATTTCTAGATCGCAAGAGAGTAAACGCGATTGTGCGAATCACAGCGAGGTGTGTATGTATATAGGTAAGTGTGTAAACACCGCGCGTTCTTTCCTTCTTTCTCCTTTCTATTTTTTAGAATTAAATTTCACTCCCTGCGCTGTCTTACACCTTCGCTACGCGATCTCTCTTTTACGCCGATACGTGCATGCATTTCGCATTTCCGAGAAAGGCTCGACGAGCGGCTTTTCCTCGAGGATATTACGCGAGTGGCATTGTCAGCTCTCTTACATAACGAGCTGTACAGCCAGAAGCGATGAGAATCTTCCCAGTGCACCGCGAGTGCAAAAGTGACGTGTTTTTACCCGATACATCCGCTTTTTTAATTATTAATTTTTTCGATTCGCGATTGACATTAATTCTCCGATAAAAATCGAGCAAATCGTCGTGTCGCGTAGATCTCAAACTGTATTTGGTGTGAAAGCCAAGGTAGTGTCCTCGTATATCATTGATCTTGAGTGAGTCTCTCGCAGTCCTAAAATGGTTTCGAGAGCGATCGAACAAGCCCGCTTCATATTTTCAAGCAAAATGGCGACGTCCTTGACGAGGTCACGTGTCCAACATTGCGACGAGTTTGAAATTGTTGGTCCATTCGTTCGCGATGTTTTTCACCGTGCATTGAAATCACCGCGGCCGGCAATTCAAACGTTCCGCGCGCTGCATATTTTATCTTAATGTGTTTATCTAATCCAATTTCGCTGCTATTAATTGACGCTAATTTAACGTTCTGTTTATCTAATGTTACGTCTATATTGCAATCAATTACAAGTGCAATTACCCTTAAAGTTGTTCAAAATTGGTGAAACTTTATTGATGTAACTTTCTGAAAGGAATTATACATCTACATTTTAAGTATAGAAGGAATTTTTTAACAACAAATATTTAATTAATATTTCTATCTTATAGAGAGCTTATTTGCATATAAATGATACTTGAAACTAAATTTTATTAAGTAAATTAACGATTTAGACATGTAAATGAAGCACCAATTTATTTTTTACTGATATATAATAATTCAACGACGCACTATCATCAAGGATAATTATTCTTTCATCAAGTTTACTGTTACTCTCACCACTCATTATATGTTCTAAACAAAGTGTGTAAAATGTCACGGACAACTTTTCGAATCGTTTATACTTATATACGCTGACGCATCCCTGACGTCACATGCATATCCAATAAGGTGAGACTAACATGGTCGTATCATGGATTGCCAAAGAAACGTGTCGTCGATGCAAAGTGCATGTTTGTCCTCTTAGATCTATTCATGAGATATAAAACGTTCGTTGGCGTGTCTTTTCTCAGAGCAACTCGAAAGCGAAGAAATCGGATCTTACTGAACATATCTGTCAAATTAATCCTATATGTACAATAATCTCAAGTGCACATTTGATATGCAAAATGAATATAAAAATGTTTTACTAAAAAGTAGTGGTTTGATTATTAATTTCTTGGCTATTCCCTCATATGATTAAATTGTATTGTAAAATATATAATTATCATATAATTTAAAAAATTATAATTAACACTATCACATATAAGTGAAACGTCACGGTATTAAGAGATTATACGGTAATTATACCTTGTATAGAGAGAAAGAGAGACTTTTATGAAGTATAGCTGAAGAGGCATTAAGTATATTTCATAGTAATGTGCAGTCATTTTAAAACTACATTTTACAATCATAGATCCTAAGGGTAAAAAAATCTAAATATTTATACATACCTGTTCATAGTTTCGAGGTGGGGAAAACACGTGTGCGTATATAATTCTAACCGCAAGGACGCAAGTGTTCAGAGGCGTAGGCAAGGTTCTCTTTAAAGCAGATTAAATTGCTCTGCTTGGAGAATTTCATTATGATCAAGCGGCAATTAGGTTGACGATCAAGAATTAAGCGAGTTTAATGTTTAGTATAATTGCCATCACGGCAACGAAATGTTATCAAAGTAATACATTGCATGCTTTGATACTAGTATTAATCTCTCATTCAAGGAAACTAATTATGTAATTTTTTATTATATTATTTTTCCTGGTTATATTATAATATTTTATATTTTTAATGTTATCAAAGTGCTTTGATACTAGTATTAATCTCTCATTCAAGGAAACTAATTATGTAATTTTTTATTATATTATTTTTCCCGGTTATATTATAATATTTTATATTTTTTACTCTTTACTTTTCACATCATTTGCTAATTTTCTATCATCTTCTCCTCAGTTTCTATAGAAGCATTATTATCTCGTTCGGTGAAGAATCGGTTGTTTCTCAATCGCACATCAATTAGCCTTTCGGTCAAACAAACAATTCAATCCACGTGAGATCAAGGATTCGCGCGACTAATGAAGAGAAAAGTACATACGTCATTGAGATATAGAACATAGACAACCGGCCATATACGTGATGTCTTTAACCATCTTGATACGTGGACCATATCGAGGTGGTCGAGCTACAGGGTCGCGTGTCACCGCGATGACCTTCGGCTTCTATACATGCAGAAAGAGCTTACCGCGGATGAATTATTGCGTCCTACGTCCTATACGCGAGTTCATCTTGTTGTATTCTATATATGTATATGTCAACGACGTAGCGGAAAAATCGCAAAGACGTGCTCGCGGCGCCAGATTAATAAAATGTTAAAAAATAATTAAAGTATTAGATGTTACAAATCTTGGATATCGATATTCGTTATTGTGTTGATGTGTTTAATGAACACGATAATACTTTTTTTGCTATAAATTAAAATGTAATATTTTCTCCATCAAAATTTCTCATGTAATAGAGTATGTTTCTGTTATTTATGCGCAGAGAAGCCGACATTCATGGTACGTAAATTGAATTTCTCTTTGATTGATTGAGTGACCAGAAACATCAAGATTTCATAGCAGACATGATCGAATGATGGAGGTAATTTCAACACGCCGATACGAAGTCCGTCCACCGACGAACACCCACTCCGCTATTCTTGTGAGTAATTTTTTCAAGTATTCACTCCTTTTGGAGTTTTTTTTACGTTTGGAAAACCTAGTACCTTATATAAAAAAATTAGCACAATAATAAATTATTTGAGAGCAAACTGAAGAGAGAGAGAGAGAGAAACGCAGAAATTTATCGAGTAGAAGATGAAGAATGTAAGATAAAATTGAAATGCAAAATTGATCAAAAGCATTTGAATAAAAAATTGATATGTTTTCATCAATTATTATCGTTCGAGAATAAGTTGCTTTCAATTAATTTCTTCTTAACGGCATTTTTATTCATCCAAGCAGTTTTCAAGGACTTTTTAATTAATTATTCTCGATTGACTCGAATAATTGTGTTAGGCCGATTTCCCGCAAATCACTCGTGCGTTTATTTAAAGCTGATTTTGTGAATAATATCTTACATCACGTTAACGTCCCTGTCGGATCGGAATCCGTCGGGTGTCGGTCAGGAGTTTAGTCGCGTGTAACATGGAGTAAGAAAGCGGTTACGGCAAAGTTATTTGCGGTAGACGTACTTCTCGCGATACGTAACTTCCCTGGAATGTCCTTAACCAAAAGGAATCGCTGACGTTCACGCTCGTGGGCGGATTTACATATGTATTGTTTCCTTTTTCAGGTTGACCCTGAGAACTCCGTGGCATTAATCAAAGAAGGTAAATTCCCCGCACAGAAATGTTAATCCACAAACGAAAATGGTAATCTATGGTCATTCATGTCGTCAGCGTGTAAATTGAAAATTTCTCAAGCTGATATGCTACTAACATCAATAAAATTCAGCTAAGAATACCAGATAACCAGAAAAGCAATCAAAAATAGTAAATGTAAAATAAATAGACAAGGTATTCCAGCATATAGTCAATTCATATGCAAATCATAAGAGATGTAAATATGTAATTAAAATTTCTCTTTTATCTCTTCGTTTTGACGAGTTTAAGCACGCGCTATCAAAGGTTAAAGGAGGTCTTGTTGAAAAATGCCGTAAGATGTCTAACCGAAGAGTTTCTATTTGAGCAAACCGTATATATCCTCTTCTGTCAAACCCTCATTTCTGTTGTTTAAATATAAGATTAGATAGTGCGAACCAGGCATTCTAGAAACATAAATCAACGAAAGCATTCTCTTTTTCGTTTGCTTTCTTCGGCAAACATCGCGATCGCCGAAGCTAACTATTTACTCGATGCATAAGTATTGTTTCGCTCGTTTGGCATAGTCCGAAATATTTGCAAAGGCAAAGATAAATGACATTATAAAATATATTTTTCCTGCCGTGCTCTTTCGTTGTCTACTCATCACTCGCGTTTTACGTCCGTTTGCTCTGGACCGAGAGATTATTTTTGCGCAAAATACTGAAAGTATGCTTGTTTCCGATTTTTAGAGGAATGGGAGACCCGCAAGAAAAAGGAGATCACGACGACCCGGCAGATCGAGACCAGGGTTAAACGACAGGTCGTTCTCGAAGATGGCGAAGTCGTTGTCGATTCTGGACCTCTCGTTACCACAAACACTACCGAGGATGTCGAGCAGCAGGAGCATACAACTCAGGAGGTTTGCATGCATTTATTATTTAGTAATAAATTCTGAAATAAAAAAATATATTAGTAAGAAAGAGATATAAATTTCGAATATAACATAATTACGAGTGATATTTCAATTTTTTTACATTAGTAAAAAAAACTTTGGATTGTTGTTTATAGAAGTGAAAATTTTGAGACGATAAAAGACGCGTAACAACAAATTAAATCTTGCAAAACTTGATCTTATTCCTTATACGAGATACGTACATCTATTGTTCGTTGATTTTGCATACGTATATACATGCATTTGCGCATCGGAATGGAACTCGGCTTCCTTTGTAATACCTATCACGCGCAAAGGTGTACTGAACGTGCTTTTAACGTCCGCGAACCGGTGTTTAGAGACGCACGACCGGGGATCAACCGCAGGAGGTCGACTGGCGGCCGGCGGCAGGTGGTATTGTGACCGGAAGTGGCAGTAACATCGTGCAAAAGGAGCTCAACGAGACGGTGGTGAGGAGCCGCGAGGAGATCGAAGAGAGGCTCGAGACGGAAGATCGTCAACAGCTGGGGGATATCTCGGACGAGGTATATATATATATGTACATGAATATGTATACATGCATTGTATATGCATGCACGCGACACACCCACACCCAGTGTTATGCTTGTTAGATGATTTTAAAATTAGTTAAAGATGAAATGAAAATATGTGAATTCATCTCAGATAAGATGAAGATCATTTCGTTTTAAATATATATCTAGAGAAAAGATAAAATTATGTGATGATTCATCTAGATAATTTTCAGATAATATTACTTAAAAAATGCTTATGTGACACAGTTATAAAAAATATAGAATTGTAAAAGAGATATAAGAATATATTCATACTTTTTTATAGATATAGATAATACATATTTTTTATTATTTATATAAAGATAAGATGACAACAAAAAAGTTCATCTAGATGATCATCTATATAATTTTATTTAGATAACAGCAAACACTGCCCACACCTGAATTCCACCTGCGCGTGCCGCAGGGGATACGGCTTTAGCGCATTCTCTTTTCCCGGCATCTCACGCGTCGCGAAAAGGTCGCGCGCGTTGTTTGTTCCTCTCTCTCTAAAGATTCCCCATCCCATCTGATAACTCAGGCGTACGTTGTGTTGTGTAAAGACGTATCTTAGCTCGACAGCAGATTTGGTCAGCACGATGCTAGAAATTCTTACGAAATAATTTCTACGAAGTTCTTAAGGAGAGAGGCATGAAACCGCATGATTCGAACAGTATTTACGAGATTATAATATTGTCAATTTTTGCGGGTAGTAGGATTTTATTTGCAAAAAATATTTGTAATTGTTCTGCAATTTTTAACACAAAACCTGAAGAAATGTTTTCATCATATAAGAATCGCGAAATGTCTTGCGTGTATTTGAATAAAAATGTACCTTCTTTATATCTTCTTTTTATAAAAGATGATATGTCATTTTTTGATCATTGTTTTACTGTCGCGTTTATTTTTATGCTGCAAACTATACATTAAAAATATTAACTTGTCATTTAACATGGTAATAGCAAAATATGCGGATACTTTCTGAATGACACATAGTGCACACGTGTCAAATGCGCACAGACAAAAGTCAAAAAGAATGATACATTAAATTATAGGAAAGCAAAACTCTTCTCGTTTGATAGCGATCTATGCAATCGCATCCAGCGAGATTTCACAAAGCTCGCGAGGATACCCGGGAGAGGAGGACCGGATTGTGAAAGACGGGCAACAGGTATATATGCGCAAAAGACGCTCTCGCGCGCATGAACGATTCAGGATGGAGGAGGTCAGATCGTTTCGAACGAAGAGGACGAAGGAAGGACGGAGTTAAACGGCGAACGGCGAACTGGAAAGCGCGCGAGAGAGCGAGGGAGAAAGAGGGTGATAGAAATCGAGGAAGAAAGAGATAGAGAGGGAAAGGGATCTCAAGAAGTGGAAGTCGATGATCTCTCGATTTTGCTCTCCCTTCACCCAATGGCGATGAAGGAGCCATGAGATGCCGCAGCCTCAGCAGTCTCAGCAGCTGTTCCGTGCGTCTCGCGACCGCACGAGTGCGATCAGCCGCGAATTCAACCCGTGATAGTGTCCCGTGCTTTTGGCCAAATCGACGAGAGGGATACAGGAATTCGTCCGTTTCTTCGTGCGAGTCTGACAATCCTTTACGATCGTAGCCTCGAGATTCCCTGCTCGTCGTCGTCGTCCTCCTCATCGTCACCGGACCACGGTTGTCCTCGAGAGATGCCGGGATAACTCGCTCGCTGCTTAATTAAACGCGACAGACGTATATCGGTTTTTTTCTTTTCGACGATATCCGATAGACACAATAATTGTTGACACTCGAAGCTGGAATGGCTTTGTTCCGGAGTGCATAAAGCACCCCTGCGAGCAAATCGGAGCCCAGGTCCGATTGAAATCGTGGTGGCCGCAATTTTTCCGGTGCGTATCGTGACGATTCCTCATGCTCGTCATCATTTTCGACGCAAGGATATCGAGTCGTTCTCTCGCCGGAGAAGAATCGCGTCGTGTCATCGTAAAACCGGCACTTTGCATAATTTTTCATTCATTTGTCAGACGGCTTGCATGCATACAGATGAGGAACTCGTAATTATGTGCATTTCGTAACCGCTCGACATATAGATCTCGTTTCAGCGAGAGATTGAAGAGATCGCTCTTGCGAGCGTCGAGTTTTAAAGGAAAATTGCAAATATAAAAAAATATAAAAATCTCATAGCTCACATTTTCAAATGTAAAACCAGTTATCGATTGATCGATAATTATTCATCGCAGAAGTATTACAATATATGTAATTTGTCACAAGTATGATAACTATGGTAATATTGGTAATTATATGATTGCAATTGCTTTTCCGTTATTGAGTTCAAGTAATTTAGATGTTAAATCTGGGTATAAATAAATATAGGCGTTAATTAAAGTTCATCAAAGATAGGCTTCGCGATGAATAATTTTCAGGCTTATCACGATCTCGATCTGTAATACATATTTACCAGCGTATACGATTGCGTGCACTTGCTCCATTACAACTACTTCTTGCGCGCTGCATCCCTCTTTAAAAGCAATATATGTATGTATTTTCGGAAGAAAGACGCAAAGCCGGACCAGCCGGTTTTTTCCTCTCATAATGAGATTTCGAAATATGTGTGTCGGGAGGGAAGGAAGATACTTTCGCGCGGAAGGTGATAAACTGGTCCGGCTGGACGTTAATGCGGATATACATCTGGTTTTTAGGCATATCAGAAGGCGGTCCGTAACAATAGAGGCGATTTGCGGGTCGCTCTTGCCGAATCTTCGAAACAATTGGCGCCGCAGTCCGGTCCGCGGGTCATTCAGCACACGACTAAGTCGAACAAAGTCATCGACACCGAGAAGACCTTGGAGACAAAGGAACTGAAGGCTGATGGATTAATCGTTACCGAGAAGAAGCGCACTGTCGAGCACGAAGAGGTGAGAGCCGCAAAAACAACCTGCTAATACACTCTCGCCATCAATTTTCTGCTCTTCTCTCAACCTATATATTGCTATTTTAACTTTCTTCAACGAAAGAGAAAGACAATATATTGTTATTTCATGTTAAATTATTCAGGTCTTGTTATTTGGATACAATTTTCCCTATTATTTAGGTTTTGTTACTTGGAGACAATTTTTCCTTGGCAAAAATATTGAGGCATCCAAAATTTTCGAGTTATAATAAAGGATTTTTCGCAAAGTAAGCCTTGTGGAAATAAAATATTAACAAAACCACATTCTCCAATTAATTTCAAGTAGAGTTTACTTTAATAAAATTTTAATTTAAGATTTAGTTATAAAGATACATGTTGATAAAATTTGGGAACATGCAAAAGATGATGATCTCTTTCGACATTTTTGCTGAGGAAAAATCATCTCCAAATAACGAGATCTACTTTTATATTTTTGGTGTGACACTTTATGTCAGACATCCTGTATATTTGTATAACATAAATAGAAGTGATTTTATAGTAAAAATTAGACGTATGATGAGAAGAAAGTAATGCAAATAATAATGCCAATCGTTTTCGTCTCAGATCAAAGACGACGAGGTTCCGGACGACGGTGAGAACGACGACGACGAGGCCGCGGAAACGAGAAAAGAGGGCTCGCAGAGATACGTGAAGAGGAGAGAAGAAGACGTGGTGGACTACATCTCGGCCGGCGAGAGAGTCGGCCGAGAAATGCGCTACGTCGCAGAGACAACCGAAGGAGAACGAATAGGCGACTGGTCACCATCACCGACGGGTATGCGGACCACTCGTTTCCACAAATATTCCGGTACGTCGTCTTTCTCTGTTAATTATTTTCTACCATCACGCGTTCCACATGTTTACGAATCGTTGGCAGTCACGCGATAATAGCGCGCAATTAATTAAAGTCTACCTGAGCACTGACGACTAATAAATCTTCTTTTCCATTTTCAAGACTGTAAATAAATTATTTTTGATATTAAAAATTTCGTATTCTCTTCCATCTTGAAGAATTGAAGCCTAGAAAATAGCATTAATTCAAAATTCTTTTGTAAAAAAAAAAATAGAAAATTGTAAATTAATATAGGCTTCCCGGATGCCACGCGAAAAGATGCTCTAACGAAAAAGTCGTTGGATCTAGAAGAAGAAGATGAGGCAAGAAAATTCGAAACGTCAAAGTGGCTGGAAAGTCACTTTGGTAGCGACTCGCGTTCCTCTCACGGGTCTCTTGACGCTGATGACTCCCCTCTTCCAACCAGCACTAATACGAGCTATATCAACGTCACTATGAAATCCTGCACCCCCAAGGAACGCGAATATGAAAACGTAAGCTCCAGCCGCCACCAGAGACGTGGTAGAGACTCGAACTCGCCTTCAGGATATTATCATGGAATCAGCGAATGGTCGGAACGATATCAAGGAAAAGGTATATGGAACATAAAGCTATATTGTAAAAAAAAATGTCAATGTTAAATATATATTATAGATTATAATATATTCTGCGTAGAAAAACAAAATCATGCGCGAACGAGTTCTCCAGTTCGATATGTGGAATCCGTTCGTACCAACGGATATCATGGACATAAGAGAAATCCAACTGAATCATCATATTCAAAAACTTACGAATCGTTTCGACGTGAGTATCAAAACTCCCTCGAGGAACGACAACGTACACCTTCCCCACCGATACGCCGGAGATCGAAAGAACAAGTATGGATATTTTTCTTCTTCATGTCAAACGATATTTATTATTTTATAAATAAGAAAGAATATAATATTAAAAGTCTTAAATTCTTTTCGTGTTGCAAATTCATGAAATGTTAAATTTTATTTGATAATTTTTTAGTGGGCAAAATCTGAAGAAAAAATTAATTTGAACGAACCGTCGCCGGGTCGTACTTCAAGTCCGATACACGTGGTGCAGAGAACTTGGGAGAGTCGTAATCGCGATGTTCAAGCACAGACTCCAGAAAGAGACGATTATAAAAATATTCCGCCGCGATCACGATCAATCTCACCAAAGTTGTCGTCAACTAATCGCGAAGAGAAGAAATCTGACATTTCGCGAGCGTCGAAAAGTAAGTCTTTTTTTCTAATCGATTCAAGATAATTAAATCTAATAAATAAATTAAACCATTATAAAAATTATTAAAATTAGCATTAATCACAATTAAAAGATTTGCAATACTTGTTGCTAATATACTTAATGTCGTATTGTAAATCTTCTTACAGATACTGGTTCTAAATATAAGATTGGTGAATCCTTTCGGAAACTAGTAGGCAAGTTGCGTTCAGCCAGCACGGAGAGAAAGAACAAGCGTGGAAGTTCGACCTCGCAATTGACGCAGACCGACGACAACAGTCCGACTTATTTGCAATACAACGTCGTCGACCGGAATATTCCTCTCGTCAGCGAAAGAGATATAATAGAGGACAAACCGCCTGAGAGACCACCGCGATCACCGCGAAATGTCAACGTGCCGAACAAAGGTGTCACCAAAATAACCAGGACGGCTAATCAAGTCATTCAGGAACAATGGCAACATAACGATTCCACGCCACCGCCTTTACAGAGGTATTACTTGGGTGAGGATCCTTTCGGTGGCAGCATCTACGGTCGCGAGAAAGGGTACGAGATTGACAGAGATCGACAGCGACACGGAAGACCGCGGAGTTCCGGTAGAATTGCCGTAGATTCCGAGAGCAGGTAACCGAAATACACTCGATATATATGACATAGTTGATTGAGCTCGAGACAAATTTCGGCTGACAAGTTGTCCTTATTTAAATTAAATCGCATTGCAATTAATCCATTATGATTTTTCATTGTTATCACTTGTTTTTGCTATTAAAATAGTATTTCATAAATGCGTTATAGATTCTTCTTTTATTTGAATTCTTGTTTCAATTAAATATCAAGATTTTTATCGGTATGAAGAAGATTTATAATTTAATTTCGAGATACAGTTAATGCATCAAAAGATTTTTTTCACACATTGTTAGCGGAAAATTGTCTCTCAATATCAGAGTCCATCCTCGTATTAAAATAGAGAAACTCGCTATCTTACGTCGCTTGATCGCCAAAGACAGAGTTAGCTATACATATAAGCTTCAGGAGCCAAATTGTGCAAACGTCTAAATCCGCTTGGTGTCTTTAAGTCGCGTCTCGACGAATCCAAACTCGCTTCGTTTTCGGGTGAAGGCTGCATGCAGGGACGCATGAATCGAACGTGTATGATATGAATCATACGCTATAGGCTCATTCGACGAGAAAAAGTCCATCTTGTGTGACTCGGCAAGTATCATCTTTTGGAAACGACCGCGTTTCAGCCTTGCCTCCAGCTCCCTCGGCAGGTTTAGCAAATCCACCAGCAGACTGGTCGGCGATTACGAAAGAGAGGAGCAGTTCCGGCCTATCCAGACATTACCGCGAAATCTGCACTCCACCGGTGGTGGACAATCGGCTCGTTCGCAGACTAGACGACATCACATCAGCAGACACGGCAAGACAGGCCAGCAACACAGTAGCATGATCAACATATCGATTAAGAATGCAGTTAACACGCCGTCCAAGTTGAACATGAGCGCGTACAGCACTCTTCAAGCACCCCCGAAACCTGAACGGACGTACAAATCATCGCTGTCGCGCAGCAAAAGCTTTAACGTCGAGGTCGACAAGAACGGTGTCGACGTGCCGATCCGCGCACCGTATACCTCCAATTTGCACCTGAACCGGTTGGACGAAACACCGCCGCTGAAGAGCCCTGGCATTCTTGCCAGCATTAGTCGTAGTAACAGGGATCTGTTAAGAGAAGGTAAATATTAATATGTGGTCGTCAGTGACCGTATGTATCGGGTATTAAATTGAATTTTCCTTTTGACACAAAGATCCTCCAGTTTAAAGCATGAGCAAAGAGCTGCTACAGTCCTAGTAAAAATAACGAATTATATTTATTTATATGTATTATAGATTTTTATACATATTTTCGATAATTTTATATTTATTTTTTTCCCTCGGTATGCTTAATTTTGTCGGACGCTGATTTTTCCTGTCTTTAATTGCGTCACTGATGATCACACATGTTTATTCTATGTATATACATATACATATATTCTATATATAATTATTCAATTTATATTTAATCAGTTCATTAATTAGTTGACACACTTTTTATTTCTACGTTATTATGTTTTTCTTTAATCTTTTAATACGGAGTACTATCGATATAAGTAAAACATATTTTTGTTTGAAAGAGAAAAAATATAGAATATATAATTACTATAAGTTCTACTATGCGATATGCGCAATATTTTTTTTACAAACTTTTTATATCATCTTGTGGACTACTTGTGGATTGAGTTACATCTAGATTATACGGAATATATTGAAAAATACTGATTACATATATAATTGCTTCAAATCTTCCTATTAAATAATTCTTCGTATTTTTTAACATTTATGTGCCACATATATTTTTGATAGTTAAATTACTGATATTTTCACAAAAACAAACATATATAAAAATTGTTACTAATCTTGGTATACGATATTCAATGTGTCTCATGTCTCGTGTCTATCGTTCTTTTAATACATATTTTGTTATTTAAATGCTTTGAAGGCATGCATTTTTTATTAACAAGTAGTACTACTTGTTGATTCTTCTCGGCTAGAAACGACAATCAAAAAAGTATCGAGAACTCGAAACATTTTGTATATCAGTTATCATACGTAATTTATTTATTAAGTGAATATACGAGTTTCATATACATGCGATTATTTATATTGTTTATATATTTTATTCATAATATACATACATGTAATATATATATACGTTTCTTTCCTTCCCACTTATTTGTGTATACACACATTTAATCTTTTTTCTTAAAAAAAAAATACATCTTAAATTTTTATTTAGAAATTTATTATTTAGAAATATAGTATATATTTTAAAAACATAAGCGGAGGTATTACTAGATTTTTTTAACAAAATATAATATTTATGTATGCAGTAAAAAATATTATAAAATATCATCTTGGTCACAGTTGCTAAAAAATTGTAGTTAAATCTATTTCTTCTTTTTCCGTGCAATATCAATTGATAGTTTTCGGAATTCCTTAATAGCAAAAAATGTAATCGCTGCGTTTACGATGTATATGCTAACGCACACTACACAAATATTATTAAAAACGTATAATATATACGCCAAGTATATCGATAAAATATTAGAGAGTATTCCTAAAGCAACAACAGCAGCAGAACAAGTGTAATTATTAATCATACCTGCGAGAGAAATGTTTGCTCATTAATATATGAAGAAATATATATGCAATATAATATTACTCAATAATCGAATACATACTTAAAACTATAATTTGAATATAAAATAGTAACCCATATATGGGATTTGGAATGTTAAATACGGAATTTTTTGGTAATAATCCGAACCCTTTACCATATCTGAAATCAAATATTAATTTATTATATATTGTATATTATAATATTTATTGTCATATAAATATCCATTTGAATTTCATTTTATACATATATATATATATATATATATATATATATATATATTAGGCTCGCTAATTTTAAATGATCTTTTCATAAATTATATTATATATTTTTAATATTATTTAATGTATTTCTACTATTTATTTTGTATCACTGATTTTTAATTGTGATTGAAAAGAAGGATATATATTCTTTGCATCATAAGTTTCAATTTAAAAATTCGCGCTTTTTAGAGGCAGCAATCATGGCAGATCACGTGACGTCTGGTCGATGGTGCAACAAATAGACTTCTTAAAAATGCAATTCATATATACCTACACATGCAATTTCCAATCTGACAAATATCATATTTTATGTCCGTTGCTATTCTATGCATTTTCCAAAACATTTCGAAGAAATTATTCGAATAAAATAGAAAATCACAAAATTTCATAAAAAATCAAATGTATAAAAATCACAAAATGTCATAATAAATCAAATGTATAAAAATTGTAAAATAAAATGATCTATAAAACAGGTGATAACTGTTAAGTTTCACGTTTAGTGAAGCACGTGGTGAGAAATATCATTAATTGACGCGACTGATATGCTGACGCAGCGATATTTTCTTATTGTTAGATTCACTCACCCGGTCATAAATACTTTGGTACAGCTGATATTCTCCGAAATGTCGCACATTGCTTTGTACGAATCATCCTGTTCCTTTTTAGTTTCCACGACGTACGTATAATATGATAATCCCAAACCAATAAGGCATGCGGACAAAATTCCAGCATTGATTTTTCGTAACGCGCAGTTTCCAGATGTCGACATTTTGCTGAGGAGCAGAATATTACTGATAACATATACTATATACTGGAATAATGTACTCCACTGTATACATACATATATATATCTCACACGCGTACACGCTATATCTGTACTCTGTACTTTGAGACTCACCGATAACGTGTGATGATCATACACGTGTATCTACTATAATGATCTACTATAATGATTCTAGGACGTGGGATGCTTCAGTGATGCATCCACGTTCGAGTAATTATACTTTAAAGCAAGGATCGATAATCATGTATTAAGACGACACGTTGAATTTAACTAGCTGTCATAGGATTTACGTTCAACGTGCATTGATGCAGAAACTCGTTTTCTTCGATAAATACATTTGCATATAAATTTACTAAAATACATATTGTACAAATTAAATTTTACCACATATAGTTCGACGAATTAAATTTTTATTTTTTTATAAATTTGTACATTACTTAATAGATTCTTAAATAAGCTCATCTACAGATAACTGTGTTATATTCAAAAAGTAAAACTAATAGAACTCAGAAAGCAGAAGAGATATTTATTCATAACATTAGTTGTCATTATTCATAACATCTCTCAAATTCCTTCTTTAAAAATAATATCAGTAATTATAAGACTTACAAATTAAAGTTTACGTCTCAAAAAATAATTCTGTCTTAAAGTACATAAATCAACTTAGCTCTAACATTCATAAGAGAATATCTATATGTATGAAAAAACTTATATATGACACGTTTTGCTAATAATTATATATTCTACTTCGAAATTTTTGTAATCAAGACATTATTAAGTAAATAAATTTTAATTTATAAGCTAGTTAACTAGTTATATGTTAATTTTATTTATAAAAAAAGGTAATTGTGTAAGAACGATGGACGAAATCAAAGTTTTGTCCACACACATTTTTTTCACGTATTTCAAATATTTCGATTTGATACTTTTGCGTTTATTCTTGTGGAGCCATTGCTCTGGCTTGCGCTTTAACGCGCTTCTCGTATTCCAGACGATTTTGGCTGTAAAAAATATATGAAAATATGATTAATCTTGAAGTATTTTGACATTTTTTTGTATATCTTGTAATGTCTCATAAATACCAATATATTGTGTACGCTTCTGCTTGAGCAGGATCTTTCACATTTGGTTCATTTAGTAAATCCTGGATACCAAGAAGAATTTGTTTGATTGTGATAGCTGGTCGCCAATCTTTCTCCTCGTCCAAGAGTGACAAGCAAACTGTACCGGATGGATAAACATTTGGATGAAACAGCGGAGGTTCAAATTTACATTTTGGTGGACTCGATGGATAATCATCTTTGAAAATCATACGTAGCTTATACAGTCCACCTTCCCAAGGAGTCTGCAAAACTAAGAGTTCAATACAAAATGTACGTAACTCTATAATTCATCTGAAAGAAGTTTACCCACAGATTTTTTTCCTGGTATTGCACATTCCCAACTCATCAAGTTAAGAGAACCATCCGGGTTTTTGGTTGGTCTAGCTACGAAACCCTGTAAAATCAATGATTATATATTTGTATCATCCTCCGTTAAGAAAAATGCTACAATTAACATTTCTACAGAAATTGTGGAATCTTATATATATATATACAACAGCTTTACACAATGGAGCAATAATTATTAATCTTTCAACAATTAAAAAATTTCACTTTACACGCAAATATGTTACAATATGCAAATGCGTTAATTGAAGATTAACCTATGCATCATGTCTCGAGACGAGACTGCAATTATGACATTAAGTATAAATAATTAATAATTTGTCAATAATTTCTTTCAGGTCAGCCTGCTCGGTTATCCGACCCGGAGCGTGATCCGAGTCATTGTTTACGGTTGCGAGGAGAGCAACACGCAACAATAATTGAGGCATTTCGCGCGCGCGAAACCAGGTGATGCCGGTTGCCGCGGGAACGCGGGACCACGCTTAGGCGCGGAAACTCACAAACGGGTGATCCTTCCTCCATGCTTTTCGCTCCTCGGCGAGCCTGGCGATCGCTATGCCTGACATTATGCCTGTGACGATTTGGCGATCTTCGAACGACAGGATACGCTCTCACGGAGCTGGACGATGCGAAACGGCGCCCCACGTTCTCTCGACGCCCACCACGGTATCTGAACCGGGGAGAGATACAGTCACGAGTCGCCGAATTTGAATGTCTCGCCGGATGCAACTCGAAGAAATGCACGCTCCTCGCGAGGGTGCAGCCAGAGGGTGAACGCTGCTCGACTAAAAGCGCTACGGATCCGTTCGCGCTCGCGCGGTTAGGATCGCGAGAGGGTTTTTCTCGCGGATAAAACGGTTTGACAACAACGACTCGGTCGATAAAACAGGCCGGATTTCCTGGACTAAAAATATACAGTCGCGCGCCAACAGGGACGGTTCATAGTTTGTCCAGTTCGTTGATTGGCTGGTCCAGAAGCTAAGTATGTGGCTCGCTATTTAAAATTTATTGCTTGTTTTTGGAATTTTAATAAAGAACTCGAGTCATTTAAGAGAACCGATTAGAGGAGAGGAAATATTAATTTTTTAATTTAGTATATAATTTTAATTCATTTGCTTCTACCATGCATGATTAAACAATTTTTGTATTATATTTGTTAACGAATCTTATTATTATTTACCGATAAAATTATTGAATAATATTTATTATTTTTATATATTTTTTTAGTCTTTAACTTTTTAGTTTTTTAATCTAAAACTTTATAGTCTTATATAAATATGCATTCTCTTGTCAAAAATTTGACAGATAAGCAGATTTTGTAATTATCATAATGAATATTTAAAATAGGTGAAATCTAATTACTTTTTTACTTTTTAAATCTGCTAATTTTATATTATTGTCGCGTTTAATTTCAAAATGTGAATAAATTTAATGCAAGCATATAATTTTTTTTATTCAATTTGCTAATTTCTAATTAATATTTATTCGAATTTTTCTCTTTCTTTGTGACAATGTATACCCAGGTAGATATAAAACTCATATAATGTCATCATGATTTTATTTATCACTTAAAAGTTACCTGAACAAAAATGATTTAAAAATAATTTAAAGATGTCAAGAGAGAAATTAATATAAGAGAATCGCTTATATAATTTTCAAAAAATTTGTGTTGCTTGAAAATATGTGTGAACAATGGAATAAATAAATATAATTGTAACATATAAAAATTATTTTCCAAAATTACTTATAGTGACGTTATCATTTTGAGTTTATTTATGTTCTGCCTGGATAATATATGGATATTTCGTACGTCATAATCAATAACAATACATATATATTTATACGATTTATAATTTCTTCAAAAAAAAATCGGAAATTCAAATAACAAAGTGCTTGCGTCATTTGCTGGCTGTTTTGAGTTTCACTGTTTGAAAAATGCATTATCGTAATCTATATACAAGGTAATCTGCATCGCTGCACCAGGCAGCATCACATCTCCGCGTACTGCGCTCGTTATCGCGCAATATATGTTCATTATATATGTTAAGCCACCGGATCGTTTTAGTTGTCCACCTGTTGACACGCCGAATATACGTCTCCTATTTTTCTCATTAACATCACTGCCATTCTTCATTCGACACCCGCCGCGATCATACATGTATGAGATATACGAGTCCGACATTGTTTTAGATATCCATCTTGCGTTAAGAAAGTGCCGAGTGATAAAAACTTTCATAAATTTTTCTCGTGATTTTGCTCGAAATATATTTTATTTGCATTTCTTCTGTTTGCAAATTTTTTTATAACCGCTTATCAACAACACATTTATATTTATTTATAGCGTCAACCTTTTTATCGTGACGACAATGACAGCGCAACGAACCTTTCTGTGAGTATTTCAGTTTTGTTTTATTTTTCTAATTAATTTTTCTAATAGATCTCATTTTTTCACAGATAAATATAATAAATTAATCTCAATTATACGTTTATCCATTGTACGTTTGTACGTTTATACATTGTAAAGAATTTTACAATAGTTCCTTTAAAATTATATCACAAATTACAAATAATTAATTCGTTTTTAGGATCAATTATTAGGAAATACGCTTATAGATAATAAAATATCTTATCAATATATTGCTAGATACATATTGACAAATTAGTATAATTATCTAATCAAAGATAATGACGCTTCCAGACTATTTGAGACAGTAAACTTTCTATTATTTTGATCTATAAATAATTACTAATTAGGTATTATATGTATGTGTTTATGTATTACAAAAATAGGAAAGTTGTTTAATTATTAAGAAATATTTGCTAAAATTGCTAAAATTAGTGACGAAATTCTTTGCGCGTGGGATCGACCAATTATTAGCCTATGGTTGAACGTAGTTTCTTGAATCTTTTTATTATTTATTGATAGAATTATTAAATAGTATTTATTATTGTTATATTATGAATAATTTTTATATTATCATGTCCATGTATTTATATTTTTTTTAGTCTTTATAGTCTAAATCTAAATTGTAGTCTTACATAAAAATTAATGTAAATGTTTTCTTGTCAAAATTTGACAGATAAACAGATTTTATAATTATCATAATGAATATTTAAAACAGGAAATCTAATTACTTTTTTATTTTTTAAATCTTTGCTAGTTTTATATTATTGTCGCGTTTATCTCAAGATGTGAACAACTTGATGCAAACATACAATTTTTTAATTAAATTTACTAATTTCTATTTAATATTTATTCGAATTTTTCTCTCTCTTATTTTTCTATCTCTTTGTGACAATGTAGAGATAACTGTAACAATATTTGCACGAAATTTAGTATCAGCGCGGCAAATTTCAGTGGGTTGACAATCAAAGGTAAGCGCGAAGATATTTGCGTCGCGTGATTTGTTCGCACTCATTAGGCATGTTTAAGCATGAAACATTGTTTGAAAAATGTTAAACTAAATCGATCGTCAATGAGCACTGATAAGTTAGACGGCCGCGGTACGTCGAAATTGATAGAAAGGAGGAATAGATAATAAATGAATGTATAAGATATTTATAATAAATTACATATGTAAGTTAATAATAACGTGGGACTTACAACGATACAATATATTGGTCTCGTTATCGTGTCTTGTGCAAATAATAAAAAGCTGCCAAGTAACAAAGATTATAAATCTTTCACGCGTTAGCTCACCTACTTCCGTTACATACCTTCGCGAAATCACATGAATTATGTAACATTGTTAAATGAAGTGATAAATTTTGTTGTATGGTCAAATAAAGAATAAATTTTATCACGCGTAATCATATAACAGATGTTTAAATATAATGATGAGCCGTAAAGTTAATACAAATTCCATTAAGGAAACATGCCATTGCGATTATTTCGCAGTAATTTGATTTCTCGAAAATTGTCGCGCAATTATATATGCAATAAAATAAAATATCATTTCTATTACAGAATCGTACTTTTCTATATATATGTACATTTTTCACATGGCTTTACGAAAGACGATGATATTTGTTATTGGCATCACCCACGTGTTAATAATTATTCCGAATGCAATTTTGTGAAAAATCGACATAGTCTCATTTGTTTCAATGGGCTTAAAAACGAATGGAAAGCAAAGTAAGTAAAATGATGCTGGAATAAATTATCTATTTTTGGATATATATTTTTTTAATTATCATAGGATAGAGAGAATTGTCTCGACACGAAATTAAAGTGAGAGAAAATTCGCAATTACACAATAATTTAATACATACTGTCTATTAACATCTTTGTGAATGAAATTGAAATTTTAGGGCTAAACATGTGCAGATTCTCATTCTTTGCGAGTGGCCAAAAGCAACATTTGATCCGCATGAGGTTTTACGAAAATTCACGTTCTTGCGAAAATTAATAATTGCGAACAGTAATTTAACTCAGTTGTCATCTGCATTTCCGATCGAGGCGCAATTTCTCGAGGTAGAAAATATTTGTTAAATGCTCGGAGAGCAATTGAGAACTTTGATTTAGAATTTACTATAAGGTTGCTTATTCGAATTTTCATGGACAATGGCGCAATAATAATAAAAATGAAGTTATTTCGTCGTCAGATAATAAAATAAAAATTAGAAATCTATATCGAAGAATATTGGTCATGAAAATTCGCGTAATATATATCTTACGCACTTATTTTATCTTGAGAATATTTATGAGAGCTTGGAGGGGAGGTATATATTTATATCAATAGAAAATCAATGTGACTGGCACCAAACTGCGCACGTTACCGAAAGATGCATTCTCTAATCTGCGATCTCTGAGATATCTCGACTTGAAAAACAATGCTCTCGAAGAGATCAATGTAACAGCTTTCAATACGCCTGCATTAAAGCGTATTCTTTTGGCTGGTAAGGATAATTTCATAATACTTTAACATGAGAAACGCTATACAAATCTAGACTCTTTGCTAAAATATTCATTTCTTTCAAAAGTATTTATAAATAAAAATAGTAATTAAAAAATGTGATACATAAATTATAAAAAAATATTAAACTATTCAAAATGCTGTAACTTTTTCCTATAATATTGAAATATTTGATTAGTCTCAATGTTGTGCTTAGATAATTTCAATAACGATGAAATGAAAATATTTAAATTCATCTTAAATAAAATAAAAATAATTTGTCTTAAATATATATAGGTAAAAGGTAAAATTATATGGTGATTCATCTAGATAACTTTCAGATAATATTATTTTTAAGATTGCTTATGTAAACAGTTATAAAGAAATGTAAATTATAAAAGAGACATAAAAATATATTAATACTTTTATTTATAAATTTTTATCGCTAATTATCTGAGCATTATTCTATTATTTAGTATACAGATATAACACTTTTTCATCTATAATATGTAGATATAGAAATATCAATTTTTATATAAAGACAAGATGACGCCAAAATTCCATCTAGATGATCATCATATAATTTTATTTAGATAACAGCAAACTCTATATATGATTAGTCTGCGAAACGACGAATTGTTTAATCAGGGAATCGCATTCGATTAATGTGCGCGTTATGGATAATTAATGAAGATATACTGACGAAGGTAATCCATTGAGATGTACGGAGGATACAGCGTGGATTTTGGACCCCAACGAAGGATCAGCCGCGAGCAAAGTCGTCGACAAAGACAAATTACTTTGCGCTACGCCGTATGATGGAAGACCGCTTCTCCCGATCATCGAGATAATAGTGGTAACGAGAAAATATATCATTCTTTTCTTACAATCTAAGAAGTAGAACGTTCTTGTATATTAAATTCCGGCTTGTATAGTGACTATTTTCATTTGATTTTCAGACATTAAACAAAGAATGCAAACAAACAGTCTGCGATTGCGAACTGATTTACGTGGTTGGTGCGGGCAAGCTTACGCAGAAACAGCTTATAGCTTTTACTTCGGTCAATTGTAGTCATCGAGGTCTAACTGAAATGCCCAATTTTTTACCCGCAAATACGACGACCCTTCGTCTAACCGGAAATAAGGTTCTATAATTCTCGTTATTTTAATCCTGATGGTTATCTCGTATCAATTATTAAATGTTATGAAATATGAATAAAAAGAAATTATAGACGCATAAATTTATTAACGTAATTATATATGTTTGCAAATATGTTTTAAAGTATTAATACATTTTTATTTATCATTTAGATTAAGGACTTAACTCCACTCACAACTAATCCCATCTACAAGTCGGTTTTGGATCTTTACATAGACGATAATCTGATAGAATCTATCGTTGGGCTAGAAGGATCAGATTGGCTAGATCGCTTTCGACTCCTTAATCTTCGAGGGAATAAACTTATCGATGTTAGTTTGCCCTATCGAAATGAATTAAACTGCTCGTAGAGATTATAGCATTATCTATTTTGCGTGACAAATGTTGCGTGATGAAGTAAAGAAAAAAAATTGATTGAATTAATTCCATGTGATAGATGATGTAGTAAATATTGTATAGTTTATGATTCTTTGTTCTGCGTCTTTTAGCTGCCTACTTATGCTCTGGAAAACGCATTGTTGCACAACAGCAATGTCGCTGGCTTATATCTCGGCAATAATTCGTGGACATGTAATTGTCATTTTACACCAAGCTTTCAGGTATGATTAAATTCATACAGTCTATATATACTCTACAAATTTTTAAATGTATTTAAGATTGCACTTAGTTGTCATTTTATTTTAATTAAAAGCGATACAATGTCTGTCTCAACTTTTGTGCACTATAAAATAATCACGAATAAAAGATAAATAGAGAAAGGATGAAAAAAAAAGAGCTGAGTGATGGTAAAACTGATCTCTAATTTTCAATATCAGATATTCTCAAATTCAATGTTGTGTTTATGCTTCTATAATTTAAGGCAGTAATTTGTATTTTATTAATTTAACGAAATACTATTTATATCTTTGTAGGACCTTTTGATTCGGCATCCAAATTTAGTAAAAGATATCAACGATATAAAATGTGCTGTCGCAAGCGATAATGATAATTCGAATAAGCAGGTGACTACTTCTATGCCTTTTTTTATCAAGACATGTTATTGAGAAATAGATGCATGAATAATGTAATTGAGATGTAATTACATCGCGCTTTTAGATTCGCGATCTTACTCGGACCGAGATTTGCATCTCATCGGACGAAGATTCTTGGCTTCATCCCCTTGACATTTTGAACATCGTATTGGCATCATTAATATTCCTTGTGCTAGGTAAGCTTTTGTATGATTATTGGTCTTTTAAGAAAACTGGAAAGCTACCTTGGATCGTCGCCAAAATACCATGATAATGTTACAAATGCCTTTTATCTCTTGTAAAAAGAATTAAGTATTTAAATTGTTTAAGTATGAACGGAGATTGTGTAATAAAAAAATCTTTGCATTAAAATATTTTTTAATTAATCACACTTTTTTTCGAATATTTGTCTTGTAAGCTTGTATACTTGTGTATGTGTGTATGCGTGTCAACTTGAATTTGGTCGATTGTTTTAACATAAAGAAGATGATTTTAAATCAATCATAAACATTTGGATAAATTTTATTATCAAAAGCAAGTAATAAAAAAATATCTTAGTGCTTGACATTATCAACTTATATTGTTTGTTGTTCCGTTTCTTGAATATATTTTTGGTACAAATTTTCAGCAGCTGCAATCTTAGCACTATCTTTTCCCCGGCCTTGTCCTTAAAAAATATTAATGTCAAATTATAATAAATATTGAAGTATCAAGAAAGGAATATGTACCAAATTATCATGTTTCTTTTAACTTTTTTTCATTAAAAGATTAAATAAATCAAATAATAAATTAATTTTGTGCGCGACAGAGTATACAATTTTTCAGAGATTGATTTAACATATATATATTGATATTTTTATATTTTAACACACCACTTCCAACATGTCTTAAAGCTGTGCATTGAGCTGCATATATAAACCCTTGATTTGTTATCAATTTATGAATAGAGTATTCAGGAGTAGGTTCTTCTTTCTCGAGGCAAAGCTTGTAAAGCTTTTGCGACGCGTTCTTCAATTTGCCTTGATGAAACGTTATTATCTCTAACATTCTAAGTATCAAATATAAAGGATTAAAAAATAAACGCAAAAACTTTTTTATATACTTTTAAACTGCTAATCAATTTTCATTATGCTCAATTTTTTATGAAATGGATCGTTTTCTTGGGGTATTATTACGACAAACTTGATATTGCTAAAGTTTATATTCTAATTTATTAGATTGACATTTCATTTGTTGAACTTACTCCTCGCGCGAAAAATCAGATAATAATCCGCAGATGAACGACGAATGTTCCGAGCCATCTATTTGACACTCGGCTACCATCCATAATATTTTTGCCGCCAATTCGTTTTTGGCCAGATCCTTGGTCGCAGCACAAGACATTGCTGGCACATTATCCAAACTATGTTTAACAACGCGTAAAGAAGCACTTGCAACATTTTGGACGTCAGATATAAAGCGCAAAAGTTATTAATAATAATTAAGAAATAACAAGCATTACAATTTGCACTGCGTTATAAAATGAAAGAATACTATTTGACATTTATGATGGTAAATAATAACATTCTGTTTGGAAAAAAATATAAATATACTACCGCGAAATCCACACAGATCGCCATTTATCACATACGAATTCGGTTTCGTTTTGTACTCGTACTTGATTGACACATTGCACCGCTTCGCATATTCTTCAAGGATAATCAACGGCGAACGAATTGCTACGGAACATTTTGCAGTGATATCCTGTAATATCGTAATAAAAATCAAAGGCTTTATAAGAGAACAAAATTATAAATTAGAAAATACATAATAGAGATATTTATCTACGAGAGTTTGAACATAATTTTGAAAAAAATTGTGTTGCAAATTTAAATATATTTGCTTTTATTTAAACATATTATAAATATAATATAAAAGCATCGATACCTGCAAATGATTGTTTATAATTTTTACATCATCTGCCTTATTAAGCTTATAAGCAGTGTCATCATATTTACTGTTGCTAATCAAAAGCAAACAATTATCTATATTTATGTTCGGTTGGGTTTCTGGATCATTATCACCTAAAATAATTACAGCAATATTTCGCGTTATTAATTACAAAATAAATTTTATATACACTTACTATAAATATCGATATTTTTCATATCGTTGTGCCATTCTTGCAATGCATTATCAGCGACTTTTGCCCAACCTTCCAAACTATTCTTTTCTTCTATTGTTTCCATCAATTCTAGATTGCGTAACATTATAGATTTTTTTAAAAGGAGTATTTTTATAGGATTCTATTTTTACAAACATCATATCACTCACTTTTCTCGGAACTACCATCGATCCCTTTATCACCACTATCTGTTACATTCGTATCTGATTCCCCCTGAGAATCCTGACATTTATTCATCGAACTCGTTTTGAAATATTGAACTTTATCGACTCTTGGAGGCAAATTCGAATGATATCTCCGATCGGGATAATTTTTTTCGCACTGAACAGATTGTTCACTATGATCTTGAGATAAGACTATTTGTTTTTCGTCAATATCATGCGTTATAAGTTGCATTGCAATATCTTCAGTAGTTTCAAGATGTTCTAAAATCTTGAATAGGGTATATGTTTTCGTAAAATTTCGAATTTAAAATTCCGATCAATAAAATAGCAATGTAAAAATAAATAGGATCTATATACATCCGTTTCTTCAGCAAGAACGAATTCTGCATCCGACATCGTCGTGTTAGATTCGCGAGAATCCAGGTAAAGAGCTGTGTGAAACGAGTTGGACGTGTCTATAATATCAAATCAAACAATAGCTTATGTTAAATAATATTATTACGTTATTAATATTCAAGAGATTTAGAGACAATTTTGTTGAATTTCGAAAATATTGAAAAACTTAAATATTTTAGAGATTAGGAATTAAAAATATCATTATTTCATGTATAATAATTTGAATAAATATAATTTTATAATATATTGATATTATAAAAGAATCTAATAAATTTAACAAATTTTACGCGATAATATTACATTGCAAATTTGTTAATAAAAATCTTTTTTAAATTATTTACATGTTGATCTAATTGAAGTAACTTTTATAAAATCAAATCGACACATGATTTATGCATACGATAATTTAGTCAGCAAATCTACGTATTAAATTCAAATATAATTGCAAAGAGAAATGGATGTAGGTCATATCTCTATATATATATATTTTGTCATATATTTCTATGAAAGATAAATTTTCCTCATGAATAAATTATTTGTATTTCCCATTCTATCATGCATATCATTAATTTAATAGCGCGATAATTATAATGAGATTAATCAAGTGCATGGATAAATGTAGACTCTGCATAATTAGATCACGCTACTGTAATCATTACATTCAAGCTATTTCATAATTTTATTATTCGAGCCTTTTTATTACTATATACGTGTTAAATTTATAACTTCGCATGCAAATGATAAAAAAAATAATTTAAGTTATAAAAATTCCGAGCTGTTCGAGAGAAATTGCTGTTAGAAGAGGACACCAAGCAAAATGCCACGTATATGCATGAAGATATTTCCTGATCGACTTAGATTGCACGGGAAAAGCGTACCGTTTCCTTGAGCGCAGGGTGTCTTCAGTTGCTGCAACAGATCCTCAGCCCGTTCGATTACAGTTTCCATTTCGCAGAGAAGCGGTGCCGCTTGCGGAAATCGCCGTGTGATCGTGTCCCAAATGATCTCAGCATCGTCGACACCGTGCAACGATCTCGGTGGCACCAGTTTGGCATCTGTCGCCATATCGGCGAACGATGCGCTTTCGCTGGACATTCGAGAATGCCTTCTTTTCGCGGATCTGTCTGCGACGTGATGAATATTTCATCGAGATCCGTGAATCGCGATAGATCTGTCAGGGTACAAACGTGCGCTTTTACATTTTTCGCGACTGACAAATTGATGGGTGGAAATAAATGTCAAAAGGCAAACAACGTAAGAGCGCGATATTGACCCACGATCTGTGTATATTTCGAGATATTTGAGTAAATCGTGACAAATAAAGCTGCTATTGTTATTATTATAGTTAAAAGTAGATAAAGAGAAGCATTTTCACAAGTCAAATTATTCGATGATATAATTAATTGATCGATTTTATTACAAAAAATTGCTCTCTCCGTATTTTAGGATTATCTTTTTACTATTTTGACGACTTTCAATAAATGTATTAAATTATTCGCTACACTTTTCAAATGATTCTTTTTCAAATCATTAAAATAATTAATATATTGCAAATTATAATTTAAAATAGTGAATTTTTTTACATATTTGTTATTATCAATATTATTATTATTCTCAATGTAAGGTAAACTTTGTATGAAGAACACATTCATGTGATGATGTAATCGAAAATCTTCGCAAAGATCGAGAGATCGAACTATGAATGATGATATTCCAAGAGACTGTAATAATTAAGAAAAGATTTTGCAGTCGTCATGACGAAATCCGTAAAGAGTTTTCCTAAATAACAAGTTTACTTAGTAATAAGTTTATCTAAAAAAATAGATTTCTACGCATAATTTATAAAAAAAAGGAAATAACTCTTTTTAATGAAAATTGGAATTGGTCTAAAATATCTTATTTCTTCTTTTTTGTATTTCCTTCATTAAATATTACGATTGTAATTATATTATATATTTTTTGGCTCTATTAATTATTTTGTCTTCCACTATAATGTGTCTTCAAGTCAATGTTTAATTATTGCTCAATAATCAAAATCGACATAAAAATTTAATTTAAATAAATTAGATTTTTATAAATAAATTAAATTTAAATAGCAATTTTAATCATGACTTTCCTTGAGTTTTAATAGTTTTTTCGTAGTCATCGTTCATTGCACAGATTAATGCAAAATAAAATTCCAGATGTTGGCTCACATCTTTTATATTACTTTTTTGCGAGTAAAAACGTACGTTCGATGAGAAAATGATTCAGAGAACGAAACAATATGATGAATTAATAACGTGCTTTTGACGGTTGTTCTGCTGGGTTTCTTTAACGCGATGGTATTTTATTAAAATTATAAACACGGGATTACAATACATCGTGTAACGCGTAATACTTGCTTAGAAACGTCGTTGAATCAAGGCCTCTTTGATTCAAAACTCTTTTACCATCCACTTTTTTTAGCTACTTGTGTGCGAGCCAGTTTGTGCTACGGCATTTTTTTTCGTGTACGTTCTTACATACATGCATATTACTATATTTTCGTAATTATAGGACGCATTCTCGATTGAGCGCGAGACGTGGAGTCGAGGCGTATCGTAAATCTCATAAAATGTGACGTGCACGCTCCACGATTTAGACTTTTTTTTTATCCGTCGAAGGAATTAAACTCCGTACTGATTCGCTCTCGTGGCACGAAGGAACAGGAATTACTTTCCGTGTGTGTGCTTTTTAATGGCCGGGCCACATCGATATTTTCTGTGTCCGTAGAAAGATACTGATAATATAAATCGTCGTCCCCCATGAAACGATGCGTCCCACCAAGTGTATTACGTTGGTTTTCGTCGTCGAGGGAGACTTATGCGTTTATTTATTTATAGAGACAAGATGTGAGAACTCTACCGACTGCGTGATATATCAAAAATTTCACGAGAAATGAGTTTTTTTGTTTAACGAAACGACTTCGTACAAAAAAGAATTAGGAATTTTTTTTCTTTGAAAAAGGAGATCGTCCCTATCTTCATTCACGAAAATAATTGCTACTTGAGTCTTGCTATAGATAGTAGTAATAAATGGTGGCGCGCTTAAATTAATTAATTTCGAACTTTCGATATGTTAGAGTTAAATTTTAACATGTCTTTAATATTGAAATCGCGCGATTAACACATCGAGGAGCTGGTGCATAGTTTCGCTTTCTGATGCACGATACGTTATTCGTTAGCACGTTACTCGCATTCGGATTCCGTGTCTTTATATAGTATATAGAATGTCGTATATTCGAACAGTTTTTTCGTATTCGGGTAGAAAGAGACTTATAAAACTTTATGAATAAATAATATAACTGCGGCAGTATTCGTGTAGATAGACGATGTCTTATATAGGTAGTGAATTATTCACGGAGCAATTCATGAGACTGGCGAAAGATATCTTAACGCGGTCGGCGTCTCTGTAAGAATTTTTCAAACTTTGTGACACGAAAGTCTATGTATATAAGTTCGCAAAGGTGTACGAAAATACCACAACTAACACGTTAGAAAAACGCGTCTTAGAATCGCGATCGCAATAAATTCTAATTCAACGGCCGTTTTTATATAAAAATTATGCAATATACAAGCCATTGATCAAAACAGCGGTGTAAGCAATTTTTTTCTCTCGCTTTGTGACAGTAGATAAGAAAAGTTTACGAAACTATAAAATCCAATTGCTTTATCGCGATCACTTTCAATATATTTTTTGTATACACATAAGAGAAGTAATATATGTCAAAAGTTTTATTTCGCTCTAATTTTGATGTTTGAAACTTTTATTTTCGTCAACTTATACCACTATTCCGCCCAATGGCTTACTATATAAACTCGCATTTCAATCAACTTTTCTCGAGTTTACTTATATTACTCGAGTTTGGACCACATATCTTTTTCTTGAATGATTAATGATCTAGAAGTTGTACGCTGGACCGCGTTAAGATATCGACGTCGAAGATCGCAAATCGAATGATCGCGATCCATCTTCGGTGATGGTTTCGAGGACGCATACATATGCGTGTAACGTGAGTTCACGCGAGTGATTTATTTCCGATTGTTGATACGCTTACTTCTATCACAGCATACAGACGTACGTTTAGACGCGCTTTACCATACAGTGTCTATAATAGGCTAACGTGTAGGGATCTCGTCCATTGTTCGCTCAACCATTTCGTTTGCTTAATTCCTGTTGCATTCGCAACAGAATTACAGTGTACATACTCTCCTTCGGCATCCAATTAGTTACACATGGATATATCTACGTTCGAGCCACGCGCATCGATACCAAACCTATTAGATTAATGCGAGTGAATTATCTACGTATCTCATGCTGTCTTCCATAAATCACCTATAAAGTTTAAATAGTCGAAAATCGCGCAGATACGGGGATAATGGAAAAAAATTATGCTTGAATTGACATAGAATGGAATTACAGTGGAGCGAGCGAGACCGAATTATTGCGTAATGCGTAAACACATGACAGTGTAGCATTGATGTATATTGTATATTAATGGAATATAACGCGGATAATATGTAAGGATGGTTTGCGAGAACGATCAGGATTACAAAGGGCACTTATCGAAGATCTGAAATGAGGATCTGCTTAAATTTTTAAGTAGATTCTTTATAATATTTATTAGAGACCAGCAATTTGGCCCTGAAGATGTTGCGTTGACTATTAGATTTGCGAATGCACGATGAACTTGAAATTCCAATCAAATCCTGACATTATCCTAATTTAACAATCAATATCTTTTAGCAGTATAAAAAGTAACTTAACGTAGTCACCCTAATTTGAATCAATGCAACGTATTCAAGCCTGCGATTAGTTTGACAAACGATGCTTCATCAACGGATAGAGGAAATTTAGACAAGCGTAAGGGATCTGGTTATAACGGATTTGTCAGAACAGAGAGATTTGCACGAGCGTTAATGATGTATCTTAATCGCGGTTCGTTTCTCATCGTTTTTTTCCTCTTTCATGAAGATCTTGTGGAAGATCTCAAGAACGAAAGTAGCGTTAACGATAAACACGAGGGTTGTCTCAGAATTAGCGCAATCAGGAATAAAAGCGAATACGCCCAATTTCGCCAAATCTCTTCCCAACACAGCCAGTTTAATGCCGCGAATATATCACTTCGCGAGTTGCATATAACTTTTAACATCCTATCCTTTCCTATCGATCGTGACATCATTCGCACGAAAACTATCTGTGAAACGCGTTCTCTCGCTTTTTAGCGCTCGCATCTTCTCTCTCTTCATCTCGTTACTTTTATCGCCGTAGTTGCGTCGTAGACGTTGTGTTTACGACGTTCATCCGATAACCGACCGAAAGTGCACTCAACGAAAACAGCGTATCCTACGTCTTTTAGAAGCATTGTATATGTGCGTGTATAAACGCCAATTTCGCTGCTCTTCGTCCACTTGCGCGTATTTTTTTTTACTCTTAAATCGTGTGTATATCTAAACCTACCATGATACTGCGGTGTTATTGTAAATGCCATATATACGAGCGTACGAGAGGTGCGTTTACATCTTCCTCTCATTCACTCGTTAGGATTACGAGCGTCTTGCAATCCATTCTTAGGTGACAAGCGAATTGCCATCCGTCCCGATTTAATGAGTCGAATCCGCAATCCGCTTATTCAAAACAGACCGATCGTTATGAGACTGAAGGAATAGACTCGATGACGGAACCATCTTCGTCACTAATTGAGTGCTTCATCTCGTGCGCTCGCTTCTATGTGCTTTGGATATATTCTACGGGATTTCGTACGATTACTGCGAGAGTATGTATATGTATGTGTGTGTATGCACGTCGTGTGTAATGTGTGTGCCCTTGGGATGGGAGTGTCTGGCTGCCGTACACTCCGGTCCGTTACTTTAGGGGTAGCGGAAACAGGAAAGGGAGGGGGCCAGAGCGAGGTAGGCATTTAAAAATCATGACTATTCACACGGTGGTCTCGATATTGGCAATGGCGTATTGTCAACAAATACTGTCCTTTCCATAATTCTCCAGGTACATCTCCTGGGGTGTGGCTAGATTGTAGCGTCCGCTCAGCCGACTCCCGGTCAAGCCGTTGTTGTGGTGAGTATGATTCACATGGAGATGATTGACGTTCAGGGCGACGTTTTTCTTCTTCTTGCGCGCCTTGTGCCGGTAGAGGCAATACTTGAGGCAACCGGTGGCCAGTAGGAGGATCAGAAATATACCTAGGGCACCGGCGCCCACCGCGACGTAGAGCAGCGTAACCCCGAAGTGGTAGGAGCAATTGGCTTCTTCTTCGTCGAAGCCCGAAGGACAATGGCGCACGCCGTCGCACCACAGAACCGAGCTGATGCATGCTTGGATCTCTGGACATCTGACAAAAGAAAAGAGATATTTCTGATTACATTCTGATTTTATATATCTATATTTAATTTATTTACAAGAAATAAGTATTTAAAAAATAACATTTTTTAAAATTTGAATATTTAAAAATCCTACTAATCTAATAGAAATCGCGTTACAAACCTGTAGAGGCAGTCTTCCGTGGGTAATATGGCGAACGTATTGGCGCTCAAATTGGGCGTGACTGGCGAACGTTTGGAGATCGCGATCCACGTGACGGCATAGAAACCAGGCTCTTGCTGAAGGAACTCTACGACGAAGCTGCGGGAATGCTGCGCCATCGCCACGCTCGCGTTCACGGCGCTGTAGTTCCAACCACCGGAGAAGAAGTCGACGGTTCTGGCCGTGTCAACGCCACCCTCCGGACAAATAATGCTGCGCTCCTTCGTATTTGCGGCCGAATAGACGATGATTCTGTTCAAAGTCATGCAATCCTCAACATTATCCAGGGTGATGCTGTAACCGGCGGTTCTCAAATACAGGAAGTTGATGCGCGCATCCTCGGGCTCGATCAGCCACGGCTCATTCACGCACTGCGTCGCCGTGAGATCCTCCGTGTTCGTCAGGATCTCCTCCACCGCGGCCACGCCGGGAATCACCCGCGGTAGGGGACTCCTGAGGGAGATCTCGCCGCTGGTGCCGCGCAATCGTCGTTCCTCGAGTCTCGTCGAACATCCGTGTTCGCTCGACTCGACGCCCACGGGAACGAAACGGTATTCTCCCTCGAAGAAGAAATCTCGGTAATCCTGGGTGACGTTCATGAGCGTGACGGTGAATCTGACCTCCACCATGTTTGATGTCAGAGTCCGCACGACGATTCTCTCGCTCACGTTCGAGCACAGACAATCGCGAACCTGTAAACAAAGAATTGTTGTTGAATAAACAAATATCTAATTAATTAGGCTTTTAAAAATATAGAGGGAAGAAATCTTATTATATCGTACGTACAAGTTCGACTCCTTGCCAAGGGAATTCTGCGACAATAAGATTCGCCATGCCATGCTTCTTAACATCCGCCATGCGCCGATCGCACGTCCATCGGTTCACCAACGGGTCTATGTAAGACGCGCAGTTCTTGCCGCCGAACGATGCCCTGACGAAGGACAGCTCTATCCTGTGATCGGGTTCGGCCTCGAATTTATATACGCAGCTCAGATTTTGGGCTCCACCGCGACCGTAGAAGAAAACGCTTTTTGGTGATGAGAATTTGCCGGTATTAGACGAGGAAGAGGAAGAGGAGGCCGATAGGGATGATGTGGAAGACGTGGATGAGGTCGACGACGTCGAGGTGAACACGTGGTTGCACGAGATGGCTTCGTGCACAAACTCGTAACGTAGCACGAAACTTATCGGATACAATGCGCTACCCTGGCGCAATATGTGCTCCAGGGTGAGATCGCGGCCGGTTGACACGTAGCTCTCTGCGAGACTACATGGTCGCGTGTGACGGCTACTGTTGCGCAGCAGACTGTGGTCGCACAATCGCGGTATGTCGTCCTTACAGAACTGTCCCATCAGTGTAACATTCTGCAACCATTATTACACAACTGTGTCACAAGATAGAATATTGAGTGTGTTTATTATCCTTTGTTCATTGTTCAAAAAAATTATATAATTATAGATATATAATAATTCTCCGTAGAAGAGATATTGTAATTAACTATATACTCTTTTTCACGAGATTTTTATAGAACCATAGGACGCTCTTTTAATTTTCTAAATTTGGATTTATGTCTACATATATATCACTTTTTAGTATCAAATTTATTTTAAATTTAAAGTAATTATAAATATTCTTTTTTATTTTAAAGTAATTAATTAAATAAAATCTTACAATTCGAGATTTTTAAATTTTTAATAAACCTCTATAAAGAAGCGTAATGGAGCTTTTATTTAATTACTTGGTATCGCACCAAGAAACATGTGTCTTGTGCAAAAATCATTTTTCTTTGAAAACTTGCGCTTTACTATCTCATGAAATTTACAATTTCTGTTTCACATGTGTGAGAGTCTTACTACTATCTTAATTGAAAGTTATTTTAGTATTGAATTCAGTATAAAATTTATTTTAGCACAAAATGAAAAAGTTATCAAGTAATAAATTTTACAGTTGATGTGGTACGTACTTTTCGATTAGAAGCAAGTTTGTCCACAGTGATATCGCCATCCCATATTAGAAGTTTTGCGTTGCAATCAGCGGTAGTATCGATATTTGCAGCCGCTTCGACGCTGGCGACGTAATATTTAACGAACGATAACCAAACGATCTCGTTGAGCTTCCCTTGGAAGTGATAACGGCAGGTGGTGTTTGGCGGTAAAGAATGCTTCGGGTTTTCCAGAATGCCCGACGAGTTCTCGTCGCCGGATATATAAAAATCGCAGTTCTCGTTTTCCTTCACAAAACTTCGGGACTTTTCATCGACAAAAATCACCTGTACACGCATGAATATATATGAAGAAAATAACGAGAGATTAATTTTTTGTCGGATATATTTAATTTTTTATTTGTATTCAGAGATTTTATTTAATTAAACTCTTCGTTATATTTAAATAACACACCGGTGATATAAAAAATGAAAAAAATCACGAGCCATTAGTTTTTATAAAAATCGCAATTTCCATATTTTATAACAAATTTATGATACAGTATATATACGTACTGCATTTTTTTGCGTGAAATAATATAGTAATATTACAGTATCTAGAGAATTACCTGAACTTCTAGTTCAAATCCTGGCAGGAAAGACAATGGAACCGGATGAAACGGATTGTCGTACGGGGATGTATGAAACTCCAACAACATCGTATTGTGACTACTGACGATGTCGGGCACCGCGTCTCCTCCGCACAGTCTCACGAGCACTCGATCTGAGGTTGAACCTCCGTCATATACCGTCAGGTAATCTTGCACGACGTTGCACTGATCCCACACCCTTGAAAAGCATGCAAATTTTATTTGGAAAATGTATTTCGCGTGTTACTCTTGCATTCGTGTCTCTCTGTTGCACTTTTTATCCTTTAAAAAAATCTTTTATATTCCTTTTTAAAAAAGGCATGCAAAGTCGATTATCGCGAATATTATTGCTGCTTTCGCTTTTGTGCGTTATATTAATAGCATCAAGCAACTGTCATCGTGAAGGTTAACAGTTTGACAGTTGTGAAATAAATAATAAAAATAATATTAATAATGCGCGCGAGAATTAGTACATCCCCCACATCCATCACGCTGCGCGTCTCGCGCGAGACTGATTCTCGATTCTCATTCGAGATATTGCGATTGCGAAACTGATGGTCACGTGATCAGTCCCGCGCGAATCGTGCAGCATAGCGGAAGCATACAGACGCGTGAATCGAATAGAAGCGCAGATATTTTGATCGAAAAATTCTTGTAGAAAATACTATTTGTTTTCTATTAAAAATTTATATATTGAATTTTTGTGAATCACATAATTAATATATATATTTTTATGCATGGCAACTTTTAAGGTTTATTATCAAAGAATAATATAACTTCGCTTCGTGCATGTAATTATATTCGATTAAACTAAACAAAATGAGAAAACCATATATAAAGAGATACATATATACAAAATAGTTCTCAAATAATACAATCGAAATTCGGCGAATTAAAATTATGTACATTGTATACATAATAGAAATTCGGTAAATTAAATTATGCACATAATAGAGATTCAGTGAATTAAAATTACATACATAGTTGAAAATCGGTAAATTAACCGATGTGTATAATAGTAATTCGGTAATTAAAATTATGCACATAATAGAAATTCGGCGAATTAAAATTATGGTCAAGCAACTGAGACCGCGAAGTTTGACAGTTGTAAAATAAATAATACAAATAATATCAATGGCATGTGCCAAATGCGCGCTTGTATAGTGTTACATAAAAAAGAGAATACTCGCAGAATATATGTTAATTGGATATTAAACCTATTAAATATCAGTAAAACTCACCTGAGCACTCGTTGACTTCTGTCGTACTTGACGACCTGGTCCTTAATGTGTATCTTGTGACTGTTTCGTTGACTAACGGCAAGTAAAGCTCGATGACCCACTGGCGCGCGGTTTTGCTCTACCCGATAGTAGCAAGTGACATTCCTGGGGTAAACTCCGGGATAATTCGGGGACTGTAAGCGGCAAGCTCTAGTATCGCATTTGGTGAGGACACGATCGCAATACGTGCCGTTCACCAGCTCGCCGCGCCATGTGGACATACTGCTGTTTCCGTATCTGAGATGCGCCTCGCTTCTTCTCAGGAACTTGTACGACAGCTTGAAGTCGAAGTTGTAACCGATTCCCTGAGACAGAAAAATTGTGCCGCGATCGTAAGAGCCGAAACTCTTTTATTTCCTGTCAAATTTCTATAAATAGATAGACGCACCTTTTAATAACAATTGTAAGAGAAGGTTTTTTACTCTAACTTTAACAATTAGATATAGCGAGAGAGCAAATAGTGGCGCGTCTCTTTTAAAATTATTTTTTTTTGAACGTGAGATAATTTAAAATATTATTTTATCCAAATTAAAATGTTTCCCTCTGGAGCAGCTTCGATAAAAGTATATTCGCGCGAGTTTCATACATATGTTGTTGCAGCAAAATTGCGCGAAATCAGTAAACGCGTATTCCCGTAAGCTAACGCAATTTCTTACCTGCTCTGATAAACGTAGTAAATATAAAGTCAGATTGATGGAAGGAGTTTCGCTGTAATAGACAGTGTATCCCCATGCGCTGCCACACCATTGTCCTCCTGTCGCAGGACGACCTTCCTCGCGAATAGTCATGAAACCATCTGGACATCCTTCCGATGTAAAGGATAGAAAGCGGCCAACCGTAAAGGTATCAAAAGTTAACTGTAACATGGGGGTATTATTCTAAAAGTTATGAGCAGACGAATATATCCGCGTTCCGCAACCGGCTAACAGTTTTTGTTGCAGAAGTAAAATTACAGATATCAAAAGTTAAAACCACAAGTATCACCGACCTTTTACGAGGAAAGGAAATATTTCTATTATAATTTTGTTAATTAGAACGTTAAAATTTAATTAACATTTTGAAAGTGAAATAAATCAAAAGAGAAGAGAATAGCAATGTAAAAAAATCGTATAATTCGTGTGATATAAAAAATATATAAAAAAAGATTTTACAATCAAAAACAATATTATATTAACAATTATATTAACCATATTTCTCTAAATATTTTTTATAATATACAAATTATACCTACGCATAGTCAATTAATTTTGTTTTGATTTATAATTTAAGTGTAAATTATAATTGTAACAATACTATATTTTAAATGTTCTATAATTCAGTAAAAAAAAGAAAAAGATTTTAGCGCGATTTGGGATGGTGGTTCCATGTAATCATAACAAATTTGTTTTCTAGACACTCTTCATTTTTTTTCACACTTCTATCATCCCCTTGTTGATTTATCGTGATATATAAAAGTTGTCTTTCAGACTGTTGACCGTATTTCGCTAACAACGTATATAAATCTCGATTCTATTATTATTGCGGGGAGATATGATAATCGATGTGTCAATATCAATCGGGATCAAAAATGTACTCGACGGTAACTTTGATTCACCAGAGATCAAGGATTTGTAGAGTAAGCGTATTCCGCGGACGGCGAAATGTTTACTCAGCGCGCGCGCGCGCGAAAGTCTGATTTAATTTCGCCAATAAACGCGATAAGAATCGTAAAAGCCAAGGATATAAATTATTATCCGGGCTCCGGCCCGGCTGTCTGCTCCATAACAGACTCCCACGCCCGGTCGCAGGGAGGGCCACCACCCCAGTCAGCATTATTTTCTACAACTACATCATTTCTATGTCCGACCTGGACTAGATCCCCGAGATCGGATCCGGCGGCAGTGAAATTGAGATGACACAGGAATGGCAGTCGATCCTCCCTTGGTCGGCGTATCTCCACCCTGTAGGTCCGACCGACGTCACCGTACAACGTCCGATTGCAAGCTGAAATGTTTTCGTTGCGCGATAGGTATGTTAAACTTTATAAATCTTCGCTCTGGATTATAAATAATCAGTGTTGTGCTTAGATAATTTTTAAAGCTAAATAAAGATGGTTTTGTTTTAAATATATCTTGATAAGAGATCAAATTATATAGTAATTCATCTAGGTAATTTCTGGATAATATTATTTTTAAGACTGTTTACGTCAACAAGATTATAAAAAGAAAATATAAATTATAAAAGAAATATAAAAATATATTCATACTTTTATTTATAAGTTTTTATCGCTTACTGTTTAAGTTCTATTAAGAGTATTTTTATGTGCTATGATTCTAAACCAGATCTGAATATTATTCTAGATAATTTCGTGAAGATAACACTTTTTTTATCTAACAATAAGATGCAAATATATTTAGATAACACATATTTTTATTATCTATATAAAAATAAGATGACAATTGAAAATAATATCCGAGAAACTTTTAACGCTTAATTACGCACGCGATGTTTCGTAACATCGATAAGTGTATAATATTCGATTTCAAGTAAGAAATATGAAAAACCATTCCTATAAGAATTGTATTTTCCGTATAATAAATATATGATAAATATATCATAAGATAAATGAAAAAATATCAATACAGCACAGCATAATGGCGCTTATAATATATGTGACGAGAGACCAAGTAATATTTGAAGCAAAATATTAACTCTTAACTACTCTCACGATTTTCGTATATCAAACCGTATAAAGTACGGTGGCAAGTTGAAATGTTTTTATTACGCAATTATTATGCGCGAAAAATAAATCCTGGGGTGTAATTATTCCGGATTATAAAAACGCGGCGCGTGATAAAATATTATTTTGTGAAAAGGTATATCAACTCTCGAAATAAATCTCTCTCGCGCAATATAATCTGTACGCACAGCGAGAGAGATTTATATACACGTTAATTACACAAAAATACATATTGGTAGATTTAAATATATATTTGTTACTTATTTATAATATGTTTGTTTAGGAGTTAGGTATGTATTTAAAAAATTAATAGGAGTGCTCGCGAGAAATACCAGCATAAATATTGACGTGTGAATATGATTAAAAATCTTGCTATACTTTGTGTATTTTCTTATTTTATAGTCGCGTTTCTAAGCGTAAATAATTATTCTACATAATTAGCTCATTTGGATCCGCGTATATTTTAATGTGCAATTTGAAATTCTATGAAGGAATTGGATCACGAATGCTATAATAAATACTATTACCATTCTATTGAAATGTGTCGCGCATATATTATCGAAAATTAAAAATTTAAAAGAACGAAAATGCGGTATTTGTGTAACGTAATTATATTTGAGCTTCACAAATCGATTAAATTTCGTATTCAGGTAATTAGTATTATATCAATAACAAACGGATAATTTATTTATCTCGTTATAAATTATTGAATAAAAATTATTTGACAATGTGCCCTATAACAAAAGCCATATGTCGAGATAAACATGGGGCTAATAATATATTCCATAAATAGAATTTTATAACGCGAATACAGTTTTGATTTTTATAGGAATGGAACTAAAATGATAATGCAGCTAAATAATTACTGGCTCGAAACATTATTCGCTCAGGTGAGCGAAAACTTTGTTTCGGGTTTAATATATATGCAGTAATTCGTAATATTATGAATATACATGGGGTCAATATGCACTCACGCTTGCCCGTTTATAATAATTATTTTCCTGCTTTATTTTATAACACGTATCGGTTTTTACGATAAACATACTTTTCATTTTATTATATGTTTGTCTATACCGTGGATATTTAACTGTTCATTCAATAATAATTAATTGTGTCTGATAGAGATATTCAGGCGCAAAATTTGCAAGAAGTTGTTTTTAACCCAAGGATATACTATAATATAAAAATTCATTTTGAATTTCAACTATTTCAATTAACCAATAATTATACATATAAATTCAGATTTAATAAGAGAATCGAATTGTGAATGCATTAATTCGCTAGAAAATTTTTGCGGAAGAAACCATCTATTATTTTCCGGATTAGATGTCAAATAAAAGCAGTCTTTGAAAGACTCTGGCATATATGGTATATAGGACGAGTCAAAAGTATGTTTTAAAAATTTGTGAGCGTGTTCCTGGATAAATAAGAATAACAAATGTTCATACAAACATTTATTATTCTTTTTTATCCAGGAACGCACATTTTTAAAACATCTTTTCTCTCTGTATATATCGATAGTTCTTACCGACGAGAAAACTCACCTCGTTCGAAAAACTTGGCTCATAGAGATTTTAAGTTATGTCCTGGAGCAACAACTAGCAACTTTTTTCAAGAAACATGCAACATCAACAAAAGGTTGCTCGTTGTTGCTCGAGTGAGAACGCAGCTTGAAACTTTCGGCAATAACTAGCAACTTTTTTTCAGAAACATGGAACATCAACGAAAGGTTGCTCGTTGTTGCTCCAGGTTGTTGCGAGGATATATAGCTTTCTACTCACGAGTGCAATATCTCGGCTCGTCGGACTTGTCGTCGCAGTCATTCTCGCCGTCGCAGTACTTGTCCTGCGCGACGCAATGTCTGCTGGTGTCACATTGGAACTCGGACGGTCGGCAGAGCGACTCGCCGTTGCTGCCGGCGGGCTCCGACGCCGGGCTGGACGTCGACGAGCTCGACGACGACGAGGACTCGGGTGACGTCGCGCCGGAGTAGACCGCGTATCCGCCCGGGTATCCGGAGTAATCCGACGACGAGATGCCGAGAGAGCGATAACTAGCCGAGCCAGCCTCGTTCGAGGCCGCGATCGCGGCTGCGATCAGCAGCAACCGCCGACACATCAACATGCCCCCTCACCCTGAAAATTAAATTATAAATAACGTTGGTAAACATTTTTATATGTCAAATGCATGCGAGATACTATAAAAAATATGTACAATATATGATATTCTAATTCTCTTTCGTCACGCAATCGTGGGATAACATGGAGAGTTCAGATTAATTTTTATAAAAAAGATACCGAAATTATTCTGTTTTATGTTGAAAAAAACCATTAATTGATTTAAGTAACCTGACAGTTTCAATTAGATTAATATGAAATAAAATTAATCTATCTCATGACAAATTCGTTTCGGACAGGATATAAAATTATTAATTGAATTTTGGCTCGAATTTTATTAAAGATTTTAGGTCGTCCAAAACGAGAACTGGTCTCATCGATAAATAATTGTGTTAGAAATAATATATGTGGGATCGATTTATAATATATCTTGCTAACTTCATCCAATACTGCTCTGTATCAGACATCTACGGCTTCTGATAGTAATGGTAGTTCCATAAGTCTTTATCTGCGCAAAGTTCACAGACAATAGAGTCCTAAGGGTTCTACAAATTGTCAATAAATGGCATGAACTATTCAGCTTCATCAAGAAAGAGAAAGTCTTCTTGTTTAGTCCTTATACCGGAAAAGAAAGTGATTCGCGTATAAACGGAATAATACGTTTTTAGCCATTTGTTGCATTGATACTACTTGCTTCAAGAGCGCAAGAAGAAGAAACGGTATAACTCAGAATCTTGAAAAAGTAAATTGATATTGCGAAAAGACCTAGGGAAAGTCTTGGCGAGACCTTGGATACATTCATTGGTCGAGGATATATTCTTAAAAAGAACCGAATAAATAGTCGTAATATTTCACGGCTTGCAGGTGTTGCTTCAGCTCGTTTCGCGTAACGCTTTTTAGCGACGGCTCTTTTACACAGAGCAAAGCCCTTCTCTTTTGTGGTTACATTTTTCTTCCACCGTATGTGTTTCCCCCTTGTTGCTTCAATTTCGCGTATATAGTTTCAATGAGATAATTATGTTGATAAAAGTGGAATCATATTTTTTCTCCATTGTTTTCAAACGTTAAATATGTTTCGGATCTTCCAATTATTTCAATAAAATAAAATAAAATTATTAAGATTTGCATCACTTTGGATATTTCATATATAGATGCGTAAAAAAATATCTCTTTCGATATTTTTCCGATATTTTTCTGATTTTTAATCGCGTTTCGTTCGACGATCAATGAGTCGTTTGATTGCGTGAGAATAAAACATTCTTCGTTTTACTTTGACCCACTCGCTCTTTCTCTGTGTCACAGAGGCTGCTGTTGACGAGGATGAATCATCAACAATGTTGGTTCGCCCGATGTAAAATTTTCCCTTTTTGTGCTCTCCATTTCTCTTGCAACTGGACCCTTCACTTTTCATGACACTTTATCCATTCTCGAGTTTTTTTTCCTTACAGTGTCGTATACTATCACTCAGACTCGGCGATTTTTCACATCAAGATGTTCTGGCTCGACGTATTCTCTGTTATATTAGATAAAAGTGCTTTAACAATTTATACGACAAAAAAATAATAGCTCCGAGTCGAAGAGCGCGTTTATCTTATCTTGCTCTTTGACTAACGCAAGCAGATTCCGTTCATCTCGACGTGCGCCAAAGTTTCAAAACATAAAATGAATACTAGCTTTAACTCGTTAAGACACTAAATACAACTCGGTCGGGGATTCCCGCAGAGTGTTTAGAGAGAAGCGGATTATGCTAATTCTATTCAGAAAACTAACTCCTCTTACGTGAATGGACTCACCAGTGTTCCCTGAACAAATACACCGCGGATCTATTAATTCGTACATTTCAACCCTCGCGCGCGGGTCGATATTGCCGCGCGAGTATTCATACCCAACAACAAAGTTCACCGTCCTTATCCGGGTAAAGCTCGCTAACACCAAACGCACGTTTACAAAATAAATGCGACGCCGCCGTCGCGGCACTTGTGTCATCTCGCCTTTTAACCCCGCGTTGTACACGCCTCTCCGCAAAACCCATCGGTTGTCACATGAATAATATCCATGCTAATGTAACGTCGTCGCGAATGTCAGCGCTAACGAGCGACACGACAGCGAGGGCGGAAAGAACTCGTGGAATAAAAATCTGATTTCGCCAACAAACAAGACTAAAAAAAAATAGACTCGTACGCGTTGAGCGACTACGGACGAGAATCGGAAGCGAACGAAACTCGAGAGAGAGAGAGAGATGGCTCGAAGGTGGATGCGAAAGGGTCGTGCGGGGATGGAATCCGCAATAAAAGATATTCAAGTGCGGAGAGAGAGAGAGAGAGAGACTCCGCGTTGCACGCGAGCGACAGTAAAGGTTCTGCTTATTAAGTAGAGAGAGGAGCGGAATCTGGACCGAACTCGCACACGAGGGCGGACAACGGAATATGGTAATTCGCTCGACGAGACCAGCCAGAGCGGGACGGGCTCTTCTCTGCGCTGCCTCACTTCGCAAATATATATGCGCCATATACGAATGTCACTGAGATTGCACGCGCGCGAAAGTTTACGCCAGCGGCGCGATCGCGGAAAAACAATTTACGCCCCCGATTGGTTACTTTAAATTAAGTCACGTACCGGAAATATCGTAAAAATGTTTCACGCGTTGCGAGTATTAAAAGATTTATACTCAATAGGCGAAGTACTCTCTTAGTTTTTTTTTTATACGATTGAATAACGTGCTAGATGTAGAGATATACTTAAAAATATTTTACGTCAAGCATATACTGAAATAAATAAAAATTTGCTAATATATTTTTCGCGTGTCTTTTTGTACTTCATAAATTACATTATTTATAAGTTTACATAATCATTATTTGACCATTTGAGAGACCCCTTGGAATTAGTAAAAAAAATTAAGAATTTGCTTTCCTTTTGAATAAACGCTGGAATTTATTTGCATATTTAATATGAAAAAAATAAAAACAAAATAGAGCAAAAAAAATATTTTTAATTAAGAAAGAACAAAAAATAAAAAAAATTAATTATTCTCCATCTGGAAAAAATTCTGCGAACGCCCACGCACTTAATATATAAGTACAATTTATTTATTTGATACCGCTCGAAATTATATTGCGCTCACGTTGCAACAATCGCCGAAAATTTTTTAAGTGTCTAAAACTCGTCGGAAAAGAATTTTTTACAAGCGAAAGGCTCGTTTAGCTACCTCCTCGATTACTGTAACGTCCGTACAGGACCAGCTCTCCGCCGTCGCTCTTAAAAATCGGTTCTGACCCTTATCCCACGATAGGCACTGAAAAAGTGGTCTTCCGCCAATCTGGCATGGCGAAGTGGAGGGAAGACCCGTGTGTTAAATTGCCCGTACCGGCCCGGGAAATTGGGTCGATGCACGAGAAAATCGACTGCAGATTGAGAGAGAAAGAGAGAGAGAGAGAGAGAAGAGGAGCTTCCAGAGCATCGAGGATCGAGCTCCATCGATGCGAAATTGGAGCTGGAAATCGTGGCGCAAGAAGCCGAAAGAGGATTGGAAGGAAGCACAGAGGGACGAGAATAGAGAAGAAAAAGAAACGGAGAGTAAGTTAGAGTCGATCGCACGAACGCCAGGGATCGACGATTTTCGCGATCGTTCGAATTTTCGTCCATCAAATTGACTGCGTTTCGTCGATGGCTGGCATCCCTCCGGCCCGGTGTTTAAAGTCGAAGAAAATTGGCGCGGATCGAGGACGAGCGATTTTGGGCGTTACAACCGAAAGTAGCAGCCTGGAGTCCTCGTGCTCCGATTTCGGTTTTATATGCCGTCGTTACCGGACGCTTGCATCTATTCAATAACGACTCTCGGCGTAATTTAAGTTTTCGCTTAAGTGTGCGCATTACGCTCTCGCGCGAATTCCTTCGGTTCGTTCCTTCCTAGGGATTTTCCTCACCTTCCCTCGAATTTCAGCGAGAGTATCCTTCGCGCGAGATGCCAGGGTGCAATTCTCCTCCGAGACGAGGAATAAATGCATAACAAATGCCGCAATGTGCGCAACTAGCGAGATTAACTGTGTATTGCCGAGAAAGAGAAATCATTCTGTACCATACGGAATTGCGTGTATTCGCTGTTATTATTTATTAGAATCCAACCAGTAAATCTGTTACTCTTTAATTTTCGAATGCGGAAAGTAATGTATTTTAAAATATGCATGCGGCGATTGTCTGCGAAAGAGGAGAATTTGGGGTAACGTAAAATTTTTTATTCTTTTTTTCCTATTGCGGAGACAAACTGAATTGCAACCAGGAGATAGTTGAAAGACGATCGAATTGGCCGAAGCGAAGCGTGCGTTTACGTGGAAACTTAAATTACGCAAATCGTCATTGAATAGACGTAAATGTTGGGTGACTGCATATAAATTCGTTCGTTTTTACCAAAACTGCGAAACTTTTATAAAGTCAAATAAAACTTAATTGCGACTATATTTTCGAATAAATGGAACGATATTTCTCACACAATAATGTCAGAGATATCAAGCGGTCATTTTTAACGAATTTTTTATAAATATAAATGAGTACTTTTATGATTTTATTTAAAAATTTTGTAACAACTATTAATTCCTTCATTATTGAAAAATAATGCGCTGTCTTATTTATCTTGTCTTAATTAATCTGTCCGATCTTAATAAATCTTGTTAATTAATTTTACTCTCGTTAATTAGAACAAAAATATTAGTTAAAAGCATCATTTTAATTTTATATGCAAATAAAATAATTAAGCAACTAGATGGAAGAACAATAATATATGTATATATAAGCTTTTTTCTCATATCAAGAAATCAAATTATTAAAGATAGTAAAGTTGATATAAAATCTGATTATTTTATCGTCGTATTTTTTTACGATCTCATAAAGAGAAGAATAATACGATTTTATGTCAAACTACATCAAATAAACAAGCTGCATAAAAATTTATAGATATGTCAGAACTTTATTTTTATATATTTATATGTATGTATAATTCTTTTGTGAAATTGCAGTTGATTTTA